TCCAGCTTGCCCTGGAGATGCTTCAGGACCTCCTAAAACAGGGATGGAGCAGTGGAGGAGGGGTGGGGGGGATGTGGAGGGAAACCCCTCCCTGCAGCCCCAGCTCGGGGTCCACACCCCCGCTGGGGCTGTGCCCACCTTCATGTCCGAGGTCTCATTCTCCAGCTTGGAGAGGTGGTTGGAGTTGTCCTCCAGCTCCCGCCGGAGGTGGCTGTTCTCCTTCTTCAGCGCCTCCACCTGCCGCACCAGCTGGTCGTACGAGGCGATGGAGCCCGACATCTTCACCCCCTCCAGTACCTGTGGGGGGATGTGGGGGTGGGCAGCACCCCGAGGGGCTCCCCCAGCACCCTCACAGCCCCCCCAGCACCCACCACCCGCCTGGGACCACAGCACAGCACGGGGACCCCACCGCCCACAACCTCCCCCTCAGTGCGCTGGGAGAGCTTGGACCCCCCAAAGCCCCCCAGAGGAGTGTCCCCGGCACGGGGTGGGGGTCCATCCCCAGCCCCTGCCAGCCCCTGCCTGGTTCCCACCGTCGGCAGAGCTCAGCTCTCCGCTCCCTTTGTCTCGCTTTTGTCTTCTCCCGCTCCCAACCTCCTCCCGCTCCGCTCCCTCCCGCACCGGGGGCAGCCCCGGCCCCCCCGCGGTCCCCCCACCCCGGTCGGCTTCCCCCAGGCATCCCCGGCCCCTCTGTGCCCCCCAGCACCTCCAGCCCCCCAAACCTCCTCTTGCCGCAGCGCCCACCGACCCCCCTCGCACCTGCCGGGGGGGACACACGACACGGGGTGGGGGGGACAGGGATGAGGACCCCTCGTCACCCCCCCAGAGGGTCGGGTTGGCGATGGCCCCGCGGCGCCTTCGTCAGCACCACGTGTGTGCAGGGGGAGCGGGCGGTGGGTGGGCTTCGAGGGGGGAGCACAGCCGGGGGGTCCCCCTGTCCCCACTGCACCCCCTGCTCCCCTGTCCTCACCCCCTCCCACAGCAGGGTCAGGGACAGCAGTGATCAGCCCTCCTGGCACTGCCACCCCCAAATCTACCCCACGGTGACCCCTCTGCCTCCACGAGCCCTTTCTGGGGGGTCCCAGCACACCCCTCTCCAGCACAGAGGGCCCACCAGGCAGGGCTGGGGCCCAACAGCCCCCCAAGGTCCCATCCATGTCCTTCCCACCCCCAGGAGCCACCCCGGGCCCCCCCAAACTGCTCCCTTGTCCCTGCACCCCACACTGGTGGGGGACATCCATCCTGCCCTGTGGGTCCTGCTGTGGGGTCTCTGTCCCCCCCACTCCCACCACGTGGCTCTGCAGAGGGAGACAAAGACCCCCCCAGTGCCAAATCCCCCCCCCAAATGCCGAAAATACCCCCGGGAGACGAAATAACCCCTGGAGGGGGAGCCGGGGTGGGGGCAGAGGAAGGGTCGGGGCTGGGATGAGGGGTAAGGGTGGGGATCCGGGATGGACACGGGGGTGGGGGGGACGGTGAGCGTTGAGGGCTGCGGGGTGTGGAATGCGGGAGGAAGGACGAGGGGTGGATCAGGGCAGGGTATGGAATAGGAGATGCAGGATGCAGGGAGAGGGATGCAGGATGCAGCGCCAGGGTGTGGGGTATGGAATGCAGGATATGGGAGGTGGGATGCTGGATGCGGGATAAGGGATGGGGGATGCGGGACGAGCAGGGCCTGCCGTTGCTATGGTGACGGCGAGGGGGGCACAGGCGGTTCCTGGTTTTTCCCGAGCACCCAGAAAAGGGGGAGGGGGTGTTCAGCCCTGCCGGGGGTGATAGGAACCGGGGGTTTCCTCTGCTCCAGGGGGACACAGGTCAGGGTTGGGATAGTCGGGGGATGACGGTGGGGGGAGGTCTGAGCTCTCTGCTGGTCCCCGGCAGGGCCGGCCGAGCGCAGGGGCCGCAGCAGCGCCGGGATCCGCAGCCTGCGGGGAGGGGCTGAGGCCGCACCTTCATCCGCCGAGCTCGAGACACGACGGGAAAGGGGGGCCAGGGCTGCGGGAAAGGGGGGCCAGGGCTGCGGGAAAGGGGGGCAGGGCTGCGGGATGGGGGAAGCCAGGGATGCTGCGGTGCTCCAGCACCACGATGGTACCTGTCCCACAGGACCTGGTGTCCCCCCATGGGGGTTCCCAGGCAGGGCCATGGGCTGTCGTGGGCACAACCCTGGGGGGCCACGATAGCTCGGGGCCCTGGGCACCCAGCTCCTCCAGCCCCCAGGGCTGCCCCTCTCTGCTCAGGGAACCCCAGGGCTGGCTCAGGCCACAGGCAGGGACTGGATCCATCCAGCAAGATCCTGGCAGGGCAGATGCTGCTGCAGCAGATGAAGCAGCATCTGCGCTGCCCACCACACCCCACCGCCCTCCGTGCTGCCCACCGTGCCCACTGCCCACCCCACCGTCCTCTGAGCTGCCCACCCCCACCTCCCCACCCTCCATGCTGCTCACCCCCCACCTCACCATCCTCCGTGCTGCCCACCACCAACCACACTGCCCACGGTGCCCACCCCGCACTGTCCTCTGCACTGCCCATCCCTGCACCCTCCTGTCCCCACACGGGGCCACCTCGGCCAGAACAGGGCTGGAGGGTCCCACAACTGGCCCCCCAAGCTGCCCCCACCCCTCAGCTCGGCAGCAGCTCTGGGGACGGGGCCGTGGCCACCAGCCGAGCGCAGCCGCCTCGCCAGAGCCACATCTGAGCCCCCGACCGGCTGCGGCTCCCGGAGCCCCCGGGGGACGTTAAACAAACAGCGTGTTGTCACCAGCTCGGGCTGATCGACCCGGCCCCGGGGACCCCCGGCCACAGCAAACCCCCCCCGGGGAGCACAGGCCCCGCACACGGGTCGGGGCACACACAGGGACACGGGGGACGCGTGGGACCTGCGCCCTCCCCACGCGCGGCATCGACCCCCTGCAGCCCCCCCCTCGCCCCCACGCCCCAGGGCGCCCGTGGGAACCAGCGGACAGGAACGTGCCCAGGGCAGCCCCCACCTCCCCCCATCCTGCTCGGGGACGCGGCACTGGCACCCTCGGGGTGCCCCGGGTGGGGTCGAGGTGCTGCTTTAGAAGCCGAGATTTTTGAGGGACCGGTTTGGGAGGTGGATTTGGGGTGCGGGTTTGTGGAAAGGGTTTGGGGTGCGGTTGTGGGTGCGGTTTTGGGGCTCCAGGTCCGGGCCTCGGCCCCAAAGCCCCGGCCCGGCCCTGCCGGGGGAGCATCGCGGGGAGCCGAGCCCGCATCGGCGGGGGGAGAACTGCTGCCCCCCCATCGGGTATCCCCCAGCCTCGCCTGCGGGATGGGGATGGGATGGGAACAGGGATAGGATGGGGATGAGGGTGGGATGGGGACGGAGATGAGGATGGGGACGGTCGGTGCTGCTCCCCCCGCCGAGCCCCGGCATTGTCCGGCCTTTGTCCCCGCGGGATGCGGGACATGCGTTCTGCCCGACCCCCTCTCTTCCCCCTGAACCCCCGATCCCCCCTGGACCCCGGGTCCCCCAAAATCCCCCGATCCCGCGGGATGGAGCAGCCACCGCCGCACGGTCCAGCGCAGCCAGGGCCGGGGGCACCCCCAAAGCGGGGATGGGGGTTCTCGCATCGGGGCCCCCCTGTCAGCGCATCCAACCCCCAACCGCATCCAACCTCGATCCCCCTCCCTCGGCCCCCAACCGCGCAGCCCCCAAGAGCCCCCAGTCCCCGGCGGCTGCAGCGGCCCCGGAGCCGCCGAGACCTCGGGGTGTCGGGGTGCCTGAGGGGCGCGGGGGCGAGTGCGGCTGTACCTCATCCCCGGCGGTGCGGAGCGGTGCGGGCGGTGCGGAGCGGTGCGGGCGGTGCGGAGCTGGGCGAGGCTCCGGCGCGGCCCCCGAGCAGCCGCATCCCGCCCCCGCCCCCCCGCTCCCGCTCGGGATTTTCCAGCGGCGCCGCCGCCGTTAGAGGGCGGCACCGGGGGCTCCCCGCGCCCCCCCCGGGCTCTGCCGGCCAGGGGGACACGGGACCCCCGCGAAGGGCTCCATTCCCATCCATCCGCCCCTTTTCCTGCCTCCCCCAAAACGCCGGGATCTGCCCCGTCCCCGTGGATGCACCTGCTGCTCCCGACCGAACCTGCCCCCTCCGAGGGAACTGCCCCCAGACCGAACCTGCCCCTCCGGTCGGGCCGGTGCCACCCCCGTGTCCTTGGGGACCAGCCCGACATCCCCCGGCATCGCCCCCCTGGGACCCCCCCGGGGTCGGCACAAGGACCCTCAAGGTCACACAGAAGGGACCCAGTGACAGGGGACCTTCCCTGAAGGACAAACGGTTGGAGACCCCCGAGGGACCCCCACGGGCCCTTGGCCAGTGGCAGGGACGAGCCAGGAACCCCCCAAGGACAATCAGCTCCTTCACTGGTGGCTTCACCGCAGCACTTGGCGCTCCTGGGTTCCTTGGGCTCAGGCCAAGCTCTGCAGCAGCTCCTGGGCCCGACTGGATCATCTCCCCTGGACCATCCCCCTCATCCCAGGAAGCAGCTTCTCCCCCAAAACACATCCCCCTCCCTCTGAGCCCGAGCTGCAAACCCCCAGTTCACTCCCCAGCTCCCACCACTCTGATCCTAGACACCAAACACCCTTTGGAATCCCAAATTCGAGATGAGAAAATAATTATCTGGGGTCTTGGCATCCCATGATGGATCCTTGGCAGCTTCCCGAGGAGCAGGGCTGCTTCCAAGGCCCAGGGGACCCACTCACTGCCCCTCAACTCAGTGTTCCCACATTCCCAGCCTTCCACAAACTATAAATAAAGCTAAATAGAAGGAAATGCCACAAATATGGAAGTGCCATCTCCCACTTCCCCGCAAGGAGCAGGGAGTTTCATTCACTTCCTAAACCCACGTGAAGGCGAGTGCTGATGGAAAGCAGCGCCAAAAACCTGGGAAGAACCTTCAGGAAAACATCAGATGCTGGTGGAGTGTGGTGAGTTTTGCACAGCCCACCCCCCTGGCCTGGGAACTGGAGGCAGGAGACAGAGGGATCCAGAGGGATGTCTTTATTCACTTGAGCGGGATGAAGCGGGAGGAGTGGGTGGCGCCGATGCCGGGCCGGCCGTGCTTCACCGGCTTGTACGTGATGGAGAACTCGCCCAGGTAGTGGCCGATCATCTCGGGCTGCAGGGAGAGATCTGTGCTGGGTGGGGGCACAGGGGCACCCCTGCCCATCCCCATTCCCATCCCCGGGCTGGCACAGCCGGTTATTCCACGCAGGCCTCTCCCACGGGAGCCCTGTGCCCCTCCAGGTGGGACTGAACACCAGGTAGGAGCAGAAGGTGCCATTTAACCCCACTGGTGGTATCAGGTGACACCACCCCGTGGGTTATTCCACTCCTGGCACCGATCAAGGGATCTGTTTCCTCTGGAAAGGGTGCCGGAGGGGAGATCTGTTTCATCCCACCACAGGGAGCCAGGGCTGATGCCCTGAGCGCAGCCAGGCCCAACACACCAGCTGTGGCATCGCTGCAGCATTTCGGTGCTGCACAACCACACCGAGGCCCTGAGTCCCTCTGGGGGCTGCCCCTCCCAGGGATGGTCCCTCTGGGCCAGACCTGCTCCAAGGAGGAGCCTGGAGCCCCCTGACATGGATCCCAGACACGGATCCCAGACCTGCTCCAGGGAGGAGCCTGGAGCCTCCTCAAACGGATCCCAGCCACGGATCCCAGCCCTGCTCCAGGCGTTCTGCTCGGGGCAGGACCCGTCCCCCCATCCCAGCTCACCTTGATCTCCACCTGGTTGAAGGTCTTGCCGTTGTAGACGCCCACCATGCTGCCCACCATCTCGGGCAGGATGATCATGTCCCTCAGGTGGGTCTTCACCACCTCGGGCTTCTCCATGGGCGGCGCCTCCTTCTTGGCCTTGCGCAGCCGCTTGAGCAGCGAGTGCTGCTTGCGGCGCAGGCCGCGGTTGAGGCGGCGCCGCTGCCGAGCGCTGTAGAGCTGCATCAGCTGCTCGCTGGGACGGGGAACAGGGTCAGGGGACACCAACAGCATGGGGACACCCCCACAGCGTGGGGACATCCTCACAGCACCCCCAACCCAGCTTGACGTACAGCACAGGGACCCCACGCTGAGCACGGGGAGAATCCCCCACCCCAGGGATCCCAAACTGAGCCTGGGAGATCCCCAGAGACCCTACAATGAGCCTGGAGTGTGGCCTGGGACACCCCAAACTGAGCCTGGGGTACAGCCCAGGGACCCCAGGTTGAGCCTGGGGAGACCCCCAGGACCCCAAACTGAGCCTGCAGAGACCCCACCCCCAGAGGCTCAGTGAGCCTGGGGAGATCCACAGAGCCCCTACAGTGGGATATGACCCGGGAGACCCCGAACTGGGCCTGGGAGATCCTGGGGACCCCAAACAGCCCTGGGAGACCCCCAGGGAGCCCAAACCGAGCCTGGGGTACAGCCCAGCGACCCCGAACTTACTAGGACATGTCGAGGAGCTGGTCCAGGTCCACCCCGCGGTAGGTGAATTTACGGAAGGTTCTCTTCTTCTTCTGCTCCACCTCCGCCTGCAGCGGGACAAGGGAGTCAGGGACAGGGGTCAGACAGGGGGGTCAGACAGGGGGGTCAGACAGGGGGTCACAACCGGGGGGTCCCGGAGCGGGGTCAGCACCGCCCAGGCCCGCGTTCCCCGCCCCGCACACGGGAAGGCCGCGGCCCCCCCGAGCTCCCAGGGGCACCCAGACCAACCCCCCTCCGCCCCCGCCGGGCCCACCCCCGTCCCCCAGGGCAGCCCCGGGCTGATCGGGCCCCGGGCGGGCGCGGATGGCGGCGGATGAGCCCGCGGATGGCGGCGGATGAGCCCGCGGGCCCGGCCCGGTACCCACCATCTTGCCCGGGCTGCGCGGAAAGGGCGGGGCCCGGCGGATCTCGCGAGAGCCGAGCAAGGGCAGAAGCCGCTTCCGCCCTCACTGCCCTTAAAGGGGCCGCGCTGGGGGGACCCCAAACCCGCCCCTCGCGGTCCGGGGGGGCAGAGAGGGGTCCAGGGGAACCGCTCCGTGCCGGGACACCACGGGGACACATCAGTCACCTCGGTGGCACGGCCACGTCTCAGCCTGGACCGTCTCACACAGCCGGGCAGGTGTGAGCATCATCACCTGTGGGAGCTGCCTCCATCCTGCATCCATGGACCTCCATCCTGCCCCCAAGGACCTCCATCCTACACCCAAGGACCTCCATCCCGCACCCATGGACCTTCATCCTCCACCCATGGACCTTCATCCTCCACCCAAGGACCTTCATCCTGTACCCATGGACCTCCATCCTGCACCCGTAGACCTCCATCCTGCACCCAAGGACCTCCATCCTGCACCCAAGGACCTCCATCCTGCACCCAAGGACCTCCATCCTCCACCCATGGACCTCCACCCTGCACCCAAGGACCTTCATCCACAGACCTGCATCCCTCACCCAGAGCCGGGGCTGCTCGCGGTTGAACCGAGGGCACGCCGGGTGTGGCAGAGCAGAACCAGCTCCTCCCGGCCCGGTCAATCTGGTTTGTCCCCGGCCCGGTCGGTTCCAGCAGATCTAACGGCCCACGGGAACCTGGAAGAGCCGGTTCTGTGCAGAAGAGACCCGAATCCAAACCCTTTCATCCCAGAAGAGCTTGAAGACGTCAGGTCCCCTGCATTCCGTGCATCCCAGGAGCTGTTGGGTCGTCTCCTCTCCACCGCGTTTCCCGCAGCCCAAACCTCAGCGAGGGTCGGGGTGGTCTCAGGAGCTGCTCCAGTCGTGGTTTTGTGCAGGTGTCACTTCTGAGTGATCCATGTGGGAGCCAAGGACAGCTGTGTCCCCCCAGAAGGAAGGTGACTCTGCCAACGGATTTCTCAGGAAAACCCGAACTCACAAGAAAAAGCAAAAAAAACCCAGAAAAATGGAGACAGGCTGGTGTTTCTAATCCAAAGGTTCTTGTCTTTATTCAAACCAGGGCTCAGCACTCCAGTGCCCAACGCGCCGAAACCTTTTGCCTGAGGGAAATCCACACCCCGCGAGGCCCGCGGAGCCCCCGACACCCCGAGGGGCACCCGAGCCCAGAGCCACGAGGGCCTCTGCGCAGGTCCTGCCCCTGCCCTGGCCCAGCTCTGCCCCCCCACAACAACAGCAAAATACACTCAGTAGATTTCTGTCAACTCCCAGAGTTTCGGATCCCTCCGCCCCAGCGCTGCCGTGGGCAGGGAGGGAGGGGCTGCAGCCCTCCCCCCTCCCCGTCCCGACAGCGCCCACGGAAACCCTGTTTTAAATTAAAAAATAAGCCAGCATACATAGTAGAAAATTTCTCTTAAAAATTTCACAATCTGTAAATGTATATATTTTTTTTTCTTTTAAACATAAAAGTTTACAATATACGGTAAAACAAAGGCTCAGGAAAAATAATTTCAAAAAAAAGAAACCTGAAGTTTTGAATTAAAGCTGAAGACATTTTTAAAACCCTGTAGTTTGAACCAGTGACATTTTCTTTATTTGTGCTGATGGGTTAGAGAAAGGAAAAAAATCTTTAAAAACTGCAGTCCAAACACCCACAGCTCTGCCTTCAGAAGCCATCTGCCCCCACCCCCCAAAAAAAAATTGTTGTTAGGTTTTTCTTCCATCAAGTATGTGATTGTCACAAGTTCAGAAGTCTGGGATCCCGGGGTTCAGCTGGTCCCAGAGATCCCTGTGGACAGCACTCCCTGATTGCCAGCCCAGGCTAGCGCCGGTAGGGATGGAATCCTTGCACGTTGTGGTTCTGGCCCCGGCCGAAGCCGCTGCCTCCGGCTGGGGGGCCGCTGGAGGGCTGAACCGAGGGGCCTCCATAGGGAGGGGGCTGCTGGCTGGGGTCAGAGAAACCTTGTCCAAACCCACTCAAGTCTTGTCCATACCCTGGGGAGAAGGCAAAGGCACAGGATCAGCTCCCAGGAGCAGCCAGGGGCGCACACTCCGCTCCCTCCCGCGGTGCTGGTCCCCGGGACATGCCCCAGCCCCTCGGAGAGGCTGCCCCGGGTTGGGTTCCCACAGGGATTCACCTTCCACACAGAGGGAACAGGTACAGAGGACAAGGGGACAGGTGTGCAGGAATGGGGGGGCTGCATTCTGGGGTGAGCCCAGCCAGGCTGGCAGTTCCCATCACACCCAGGGGGCTCCCAGGGGGGCTGTCACTCGTTCTGAGCAGCTTCATTTGGGGCTGGGGTTTTTCCTGCTCAAAAGCTGCCAGATCCAGCACAGGCAGAGGTGTGGCCAGGAAGAGTTCCCTGCAGTCTCAGAGTGCCTCAGACTGACCACACAGTTACCAGACTCTGCTTCACCACCTGGACACCCACAAAGCTGGACACCTGCTGTGTCTCAACCACACTTTAGGTAAAGCACCCACGAGTTAATATTCACCTTGTTCTTCCCAGCACTTCTCTCCTGCCACACTGCCCAGCTCGGGGCCATTGTCACCACCCCTCTGTGACACAGCCCACACCACAGAGCAAGCAGAATGTGGGGACAGGGGAAAAAAACCCAGTGTGCAGATGGAGGACTGGGCAGAATTCCTGCTGCCAACACGAAACACAACTAGATGTAAATTAGAACACTGAGAAATTGAGAAATTTCATTCAAATTCCCGTAATTAAATACAACTCTTAATCCTGGCATCAGTGCCAGCCCCTGCTCTGAAGGATGGTATTAAGGCTCCTAATTACCAAGTGCATTTCTGCAGTGCTGCCTCTCTGAGCAGGCTTAGAGCAGGTTTAACTCTCTTAATCCCAAACAAAGTCTCTTAGCACGTCTTCAGTAGCTCAGTTGCAAGCTCCGCCTGTCCCTCAGGACTTGCTGCCCCTAATGAACCCTAAAACACAGCTACGACAGGCTCTGGGAGCCCCACATGCCACCCCTGGCATTTGTTTAGACACAGATAAGCAGGGACTCAGAACTACAGCTGAATTGTTTGCTGGGAGTGGAAAAAACAACCCCCGAGTTATTGTCGCTCCAGTGCAGAGCTCTGTGGTGCCAAACACAGCTCCCCACAGGGCTCCTGTTGTTGATCACAAAGGAAACCCCCCCACACACCTGCAGAGCCACTCAGGACACGCTGCCCTCCTCCCCTGCCTGCTGATCCCTGCTCCAGTCCCTCTGCCCCTCTGGGGCTGCACTGTCTGGCTGAGGAGCCTGAGCTCAGCTCCATTACCAGGATAGGGCCTGGCCAGGCCTGGGAGGGAACAGTGTCAGTCCCAGCTCAGCTGGGGGTTTGCACCCAGCCAGCTCACAGACATGAGGAGCTGCCCTGCCCTTACACACAAACCCAACATCTGAGCCCCATTCTCACCTCTCACCCCCTCCCTTTAAGAGTCTGCAAAGAGCCAAGTTCTGGCAGGACAAGAAAAGCTTCCTTGAGTCACGAGGGCAAAACAATCCATGAAATCAACCGTGTTTGTCACAAACAGACTAAAAAACATTTCAAATTCCTCAGCATGAGAACAAATTCTGCTTTACAAACACACGTGAGAGGCTCATCTTCCTCCAGCGTCTGCTTTGCACTGCTGGGACTTTGAATAGCATCTATTTAAACAGATTTTGTGAAGTGTTTATCTCCCTGCAGTTTCTGCAGGCACTTCACATGAGGCAGCACTACCACATGGAGAACGTGTTCAAGCAGGGAACAGCCTGAATCCACAGGGCTGCTGCTTGCAAAAATTCCCTTCAGAAGTGACCAATTTACAATGCCTTAAAGGAAAAAAAAGCAGTGCAGAGCTCTTTGGGGAGCACTGCTCGAACACAGGGCTGAGAAGAGCAAGAGGAGAATGAGAATTCCCTCTGAGCTTCCATGGGGAACAGCAGCAGAAATTTTACTCAGGAGCACAAGCACTTGTCTAGCAGTTTTTAAGAGATTTTATCTTTTATAGTACTGTCTGCCTGGCTTAAAACTTGTTACCTCAGTGTCTTCTATCACCTACCTGAAAGTCATCTACAGAGCACAACAAAGCTTTACAGAGCTACACCTCCAGAGAGATGGGGGAGGAATGGGAAAAGGGAGGAAAAGACACCAGCCTGGATCCTTACACCTGCACTGCCTGCCTCTCGATGCTGCTCTCACTCTTGAAGTCTGCTCTCCAATCTCAAAGTCTGTTACACAAAAAAAGTTCACCGTGAGCTCTGTGAAGCTCTCGCAGTAAAAGGTTTTACCTGCAGATCTGGGGGGGTGCAAACCAGGAGTTCATCCCGGCAGGGCCTCCGAAGGTTATTTCACAGCACACAGGCACCGTTTAGAGTTGAGCAAGGAAAAGCCCTCTGGCTCGAATATTGCATGATTTAAGGATGGCTTGAGCTGGGGGGAGCGTTCCCACCCCAGAGAATGCCCCCAGTGCTGGCACACTGTGGCCAACACCCACTCCCTACCCGAGAATGAGAGGAAAGGGGGGGAAGCTCGAGCAGGTACTCACCAAACTGACTGTAAGGGAATTCTGGCTGAGCAGTCGGGGGTTTGCTCATGTCCTGAGTTGCCTGAGATGGTGGTGGTGGTGGAGGAAAAGCAAGTGGTGCTGCCCCTGGAGTGGCAGGTGGAGGAGGGACCCCAGGGGGGGCAAACTGGTCAGGTGGAGGAGGTGGAGCACCATAACCAAAACCTGGAACACGAGGAAGCACAAAACACATGTGAAAAGACACAGGTAAACACCACCCTGATGTCCTGCTTGGCTTTAGAGCACGCTGTAGTTCAAAAATACACAGTCCTAAGTCTGTCAAATCCAGACTGGGTGTACAGTGATTCACCTCTACACAGGTGGCCACCAGAGACCCCAACAACTTACCTTCCACAGGGATGAGAAATGTCCCCCCAGGGCAGAGACTGCAGCAACCAGCACAGAGAAAGGACAAAGCAGAGCTGGGGACCCAACTCTGTGCTCTCACACACACACACAAGAAATGAGGGGGAAGCTGTATGATCCCAGATCCTGGGAGGATAACATGGTGCTATCTGCTACTCCAGACAACTGGGGGCTGTTTTCCACCTTCTTTAAACCAGGGTTGTGACCAGACTTCTGAAAAGGCGGCCTGAAGAGGGTAGATGCTAAAATCCTATTTGTACTCCCAGTGCCAGTTGTGACCTTAATTCCTTAAGCTCCCCCAAAAATCCCTGCCTGTGTCTGGTCACCAGCAGTGAGCTCCAAGTTTTCTCTCAGGTGCTGTAACAGGGGTACACAATACATCTAAATTTGTTCAGCAACACAGATTTAAACCAGAGAATATAAATTATTACTGCACCCAAGAAAAAAATACTTCAACTCACCGGCAAAAATAAGGGTTCAGTTAATTATAGCTCAGAACAGAAAACAATTAAAGACAGGTGAAACACAGGGGGAAAATCCAAGTCCAGAGGAAGAAGAGCAAAAGCTGAATTCGATGCTGGAGGTGCTCCAGCTCCTGAGGGTCACTTACTAAATGGTGGAGGGGTGCCATAGCCCTGTGGAAATCCTTGTGGAGGCGGGAATCCCCCGGGAGGTGTGGAGACTATGTATGAGGTAAATGGAGGTGGAGGAGGAGGAGCTCCTCTGCCCGGAGGAGGGGGTCCATATCCACCTGGAGAACGAAGAGAAACCCCAACAATGAAGCAGATCAACACTGAGGAGCTGCTGCTGGAGTCAGCTTCCTCTAGATGGGGTAAGGCTGTTGGACAGATTTCAAGCGCAGGCTCAGCCTTCTATGAATCCTTTCTTTGGGAAATATTTGTCCTCCCAAGTATCCCCACTGTAAATAACTGCAGTTTAGCATGTAATCCCTTGATAACAAATTAATGTGGCTGGAGCAGCAGGATGTGTGTCAGCTCCCATTACTGAGCTGCTAAGAATCCACTGTCTTCCCCTTCGTTCTTCTAGGACAAATTCAATCAAGCTTTTAAATGTAGGTTAAATCCTACAGAAACCCACAAATCACTGTGAATGCTCAAAGAGGCTGTGCCCGCACTCAGGAGGATTTTTTCTGTCAGGATTGGTCCCATGTAATGTACTTACCAATTGCCTGTCCAGCTGGCACCCACATCCCTACAACAGAACAAAAAAGGAGCCTTAGACATCGCTGAAGCTGCCCACTCTGGAGCAGGGATGATGCAAGAGGAGGGATCTGGCTCTGGGATAGACTGGATATCCTCCCAGCGTCCCTTACACATCTATTTTTAGGGTCCAAGAAATATTCTGGGCCTATTTCTGAATACACCATTCTGGAAAGACTCTGAACCATTCAGCAAGCAACACTCAAAAGAGACAGCAGTCCCCAAACCCAAATCAGGTGGAGCATTCGAGAGCTGCCACGTACCAAGTGCAACGATCTGTAGTACTATAAAGACCAAAATCCGGGAGAATCCCAGCAGACTAAACATCCAAAGGATTTTTAATTCACTACTGGGTTTATCTGAATTGGTTTTGAAGTTTCTGAACCATAAAAAAGCCTTCCCCATCCGCTGCAGCTTTAAGATCGAAGGATAAATGCGTTTGTGCCTGACATTAATCTTTCCGGGAGATCAGGTATCATTTTCCCGGCTAATCACTGCATGGAAAATGATGGAGTTTCTCCGGCTGCAGATTAGCACATCTGTGCACAGTGTCAGCCCTCAGCTGCAGCTTCCCAGTTAATCAGCACCATGGGGAAAGGAGCCCTCCTTGCGGTGCCAGCCCACCCATCGGAGCAGGGATGGAGCAGCCGCACTCGCTCCAGCCCCCAGGTGAACACTTCCCATCTCTCACAGCAACTCAACCACCCCGCTGCACTTCTCCACGAGTTACCAAAACTGTCTCTGTGTGAACTCAGCGTATTTGTCCTGCCTCCAGAACCTGGTGGGGGGGAGCAGCCATCAAACCTAACCACGCTCCTCGGCCTGGGGGGTTCCCCAGCTGCAGCAAGAGCTCCTGCACCACCAGCCCCAGAGCTGCCTGGTGCTTTTCCAGGCTACATTAAGCAATTAAATCCAAAGACAAGACCATCTGTCTTCCCCTCATCCCTTTCAAATTTCCCTTATGATTTCCCCTGAAACCGCCTCATCCTCCGAAAAGCCGAATTGTCACCGGGGTCTCACGCAGGCCTCTCTCCTGCACCCGCAGTCCCGCCTGGAGCCTCCTCAACACCTTCTCCGAGTGGCCCCAGGCAGATCCCAAGGGAGCAGCGGAAGGACAGCCGGGGCAGTGCCGGGGCAGCAGAAATCACTGCCTGGTGCCTGTGGATGGGCTGTGGGGAGCAGAGCGGGCGGTACCTTGCGGGCCGTATCCCTGCTGCCAGGTCGGAGGGGGCTGCCCTGCCCAGCCGTTGGCAGCGCTCGGCATGATCCTGCTCCCCCACTGGCTGGCCCCCGGCGGCCCTGGGGTCTGGCTCTTGCTGTCCCGAGGCTCGGCGCGTTTCACCTCCACCTAAACAAACAGCGGGGCCGGTCAGGAGGGACGGGGGGGCCCTGCACCCCCCGACCCCTCACACACACCCGCAGGTACGCTTAGGACTACACTTAGCATCTTACGACTTATGTCTAAGTACTTAAGGACTAAACTTAAGGCCGGTAATTTACAATGTTTCTCAGGTACCGTGTAGGTGATGGTAAGACGTTACAAGTCCTACTGTTGAGGGATTCCGAGAAAAACATCCTACAAATCGCTTCGGTATCGTTGGCTTTAATCTTAAAACAGCAGTACCCTCTTACAGCAGCTCTGCACTGGCAACAGCAGGATCTTGTATGTTCAGGACAGGCTGATTTAATGGTCAAGGCAGGAGTTAAAAAGATAACATTTTCAGTTAAAAAACCAGAATTTTGAGTGAAGAGGCCGCTCTGAAAAAGGGTACTAATGCTTTAACCAAACACATTTGGGGTTCATTTAGAAGTGACAGTTTAACCCACCCCAGCTAATGGTAATTTCAGCTCATACCTGAGAAACACACATTTTTGATTGATTTTTTTTATGTTGTTTTCTTTCTTTTTTTTTTTTTTTTAACTTAAGATTTTATTTAAATGTCTAATGGAAGATAAAGACTTACCTTCCCCAGGCTAACGCTTAAAGAATCTCAATTAACTCAAACAATGTCAGAGGGAATGGATGTGATAAGAGAATCTTACATTACATCTAACAAAAAAGTAAACAAACATGCAAGTAATAAAAATGGACAGTTGAGTCAATAAGAAGCAAATCTTCATACTGTGTTAAGTCAGTGACAAAACCCCTCCTGTTTTAAAAATTAGTAAGCCACAGTGCTTATCTTATTTTATTCTAAGATAAAACATCCTAGTGTTCCCAGCCACAGAATAAGTGCATTTGACCTACTTAAAATAAGCTGCACATTCAACATAAACCTCTCAAAAAAAAAAAAAAAAAAGGAATCCAGCTCTGATTTAATGAAACCCTCTCAGCGCTCGCTGAATTCCAGGCTTTTTTTTTTTTTATTTCATGATTAATTTTAATGGGTGCCAGAGTACAAAGAAAATAAATCTCAATCATCAATGGGCCTGAGTAGTATGGAAAATAAAGTATTCAGAATTCTTCCTGCCATGTCTTAAAAAGCCATTCATGTGGGAGAACAAACAGGAAACAGGCACAAGGCAAGGACAAAGCCCCCCGTGCCCCCCCCCGTCGATGCCCCAAGGACACGAGACATGACAGTAACCAAATCTCTGTCAGCTCAAGGCCCTTCCAGAGAGGAACCAAGGGAATTTTTCAAAGGACTCAAATTAATGAGTCTTAACACATTTGCCTTGGGGGAATTCGGTTATTGCTTACAAAAGCAGGGGCCTTCTTGCAATTTTAATTTTTCTTCCCCCCCCCTTTCAACAACATATGGATTCATTTCAGCACTACCTTTTTAATTACCAAAAAGACAGAGATACCATTTTTAAAAAAAGGCATGATTAGGCAGTGGAGGAGAGCAGGGGATCTGGAGCTCATTAATCCTCGTGGAAGAATCCCATTAATTTTTCAGTGCACATTTGGAAGCGGGAACTGCCAAACTGAGGATTGAAAATTCCCTGTGAATAGGGAGTTCAAATTCCACACCTGCCTAAAGCCCAGGTTACCCCAAAAACTGAGGCAGCTCCACTGCTCTGAGCTGAAACCCCCTGAACTCTGCTTTGTGTGTCACTGGAAGGGGGGAAAAGGTGGAAAAATCAATTACTTCCGTTTGGAACTGGGTTTGTTTGGGAAGCACCGAGAACATGTTCCAAACCCAGCAGCACGAGGTGACAGCTGGGGGCTCGCTCTGGGCTCTCCAGCCTCTCCCAGGACCCAAGGAGGTACATCCTTTGTTCCCATTGTATCTGCTGCTTTGCTCACTGAAGGCAATTCCAAGGACAGACTGGGGATGTTGGGGGATACAGGTACCTCACACACATCTCCTGTGGCTGCCCACAGGAGGAAAACACCAGGGGCCAAGAACATGCCCTGATGCTCTGGATCACACAGGCACATTCCTTTGTTTCCACTGTCAGGAAATCACCCACCCCTCACCCCCAGAACAAGTTCATAGGAATTAAAGGCATTATTTACTGCATAATTAACCAGAACTTCACTGATATGCAGAATATTTCTCCTACTAGGTAAGGAAATGTTTATGAAATAGCAACACATAAAGGACTTTAAAGACAATTAAAAAAAATCATACTAATGCAATAATTTAAGGAATGTAAAAATCTTCTTGAATCTCCTCACTCTAAGTTTAGCAGTTTTAACATTTACTTGAAAAACTGGATCTACCCTAAAGCTGCAAGACTTCAGTTTACCAGAATTTCCCATGGTTCATTTTTCTTTAAGTTACTCTTTTCTCTCTATAAAACCTGGGTGTCCTGCAACAATTTACTTTGCTTTTAGGGTGTTTTTCTTTTTTCCACAGGTAGAAGCATGTTCCTTGTTGAGTAACATCAAAGGAGCCTAAAAAATTCCTCCCTATCCAACGCCCGTTTGCTGACAACACAGTATGAAGATGAAACAACCAGAGGTCACTTAACTGCATTGTGGTTAAATACTATATAGAGTACGTGGGTTGGTATCAAAGTTTCACAGTAAGTGACCCAATTTTTTAAAAAACCAATCCTTCAGGATGTTTTTTTTTTATTTCCCTTTTTCTTTTTAAGTTTAAAAGATTATATAAAGCAGATTGTCTCACACCACCTCAAAAATTTCAGTACCGAGTTACATCTGAAGGAGTGGTATCTTAAACCAAGCCTTGAACAACTCGGATTTCACTGGGATTCTGGTTTTGGACAGCTGGAGATCACTGATTTCTCTCCTTGCCTCACAGCAGGGCTCGAGCCGGAGGCAGCGAGCACAGCCCATCCCAGTGCTCTGCCCAGGCACAGCAACCCCAGGTCTGTACACACAAGGCCTCACCCCAACCAAAGAGCCCACAGCCTGAGCCCTCAGGCTGACCCTCCCCATCTGCCCTTCTCACCTGGTCCTGCAAACTCAGACTTTCCCCACCTCCATGGATAAAGCCTTGAATTCGGACTCGCGTGCTCTCCCACCCGGGCCAAGGGTTCGGTTTTGCTCCCCAGTGAAATCGCTCGTTGCCCAAGACTTGGTTCTTTCTTAAGGTAAAATAAAACTACAACTACACACTTTTTTGCCCATGATGTCGTGAAAATGCATGTTGACAGCCTGGTCCACTGATTGTTCGTCCTCGAAAGTAATAAATCCAAAACCTAGCCAACGACGAAGAGTGAATCAAGGTAGCAGGGTGTTGTGACACAAAACAGGATGATGAACAGTATTAGGGGCAGACCAAGGGTTCAAGCAGGGGTTTCAGATAACGACACTTGTGTTCAATTGCCAAAAACTCTGCCAAAATTGCAATGGATACTTCCTGTCGTGAGGCAATTAGTGCCTCGCCGTGGGTTCGCACATGCAACTTCAAACTGAGCTCGTTAACCGGCTTTTAATTTGAGTTTATTCCTCATCCACCTACCAGGAAATGGAAAAAAAGTGCTAAAACCAAAATACTTGTGGGACAGCAGGTTAAAGTCAAGCAACTTTGCTGCTCCTCCCTGCTCAGCCTAGTTTCCCAAGAAAAAACTATCTTAGCCCTGTTCCCCAAAGCTGCAAAGCAACTTCCTCCCATCCCTTAGCCCAGCTTCCAGTTAGGGGGTATTTTCCATGGAAAATAAGAAAGTTGGTTTTGAAATGTAGCTGTTAAAGCATGAAAAATTTTACCACTCTGTGGATGAATGAGAAGCTTCAGAAACTAACAACCTACATCAGAGGTTCTCAAGTTTTCCACACCTCGGAAAAAGCACAGAACAGGTGTTACTCCTTCCCAACACAGTAACCCCTGTAGGGTGTTGCTTTAATCTGTTTTATTTCTTGTATTTCCTGCTGTTTTTCTCTTGGAAATCTACACAGCACTTTTCAGCCCTTTTGGCCCCCCAGTGCTCCAGCTCCCCACGGGTGGCTCGTTCCCTCTGCCCTGACCACAGCCCTCGCTGGTGGCAGCCCAGTTGGATCCAGCAGCTTTTGGAGCCTGGAGGAGACTCTGGAAAGGAGGCAGAGCCCCAGGACTGACCCCTCTCTGGGGTCCCTCTGAGAACCACTGCACGTAGGTTGTAGCTGCTGTACAGCCGAGAGAGTGGCAAAATTGTGGTTAATCCCCCAGGACACGGCCATGCCATCACCCACCAGCTGCTGGGGGACAGCCCGGCCCCGGGGCAGGGAGGGACACACATGCAGAACGGGAATTGTGCCATTCTTTGGATTAGCTACGGGGAGAGCAATAAAAATTAGAAAGGAAACCCGAGGCGCGGCGTCGGAAGCGTCATCGGAAGCGAATGGAACATGGATGCGGTTCTGCTTTTCTGAAACCCAAGATCTCCCCCTTGGTTTGCGTTTTGCTTTGCAGCTAGTGCTGACAGCAGCCAAAATCTTGCTCTAAAGCGTTACAGAATACAGGGTCTAGCACAGGAATGTCTCTCCACGCTTATCCAACTGCGTTGGGTAAGCCCAAAGAGGCCTAGTGTAGAGAAAGTTTATATATATATATATAAAAATACACAAAGATACAGGCCAAAATAGATTCCAGCAGGTCAAATTCTGCTGTCAGCAACAAGAGCAAAAGACATCACTAAAATAAACTGAAAATAAAAAGGAAAAAACTTGGCATTTCCCACACACAAGAGACTGGCAGTATAAACGAAGTTTAGTGGAGCTGTGATGAAAGCAGCCTCCAAGCTGAGAGCAGCATTTCATCACAATATATTTGTCTGAGTTAACCAGAAATCCGAGTATTGGAGCCAGAGGAAAAGGATTTGTGTTTAAATCACGTGTTTAGTGTTCCAGCCTTTATCTAAAAAGAGATGGGAAAGAGAAACAATGGATTCCATCCATGTCTGAAGGCTGTTGTTTAACCAGATTCCAAGACTGAAGGACAGGAATAGACTGTGGGATGGGGCTGGAGGGGGAGGAAGAGGGAGAGTAAGAAGTCACCGAGGAAACCAGTAAAGAAACCAAAAAAGGGGATTTTGAAAGGGTCAAACACCATAAGATCAGGAACAGTGAAGAATTCAGAGCAAAACAGTAAAATCCCCAAGGTGAAGTTTTAAATAGAGAAGTGATGAAACCCACCATCCACAGCCTCAGTTTTTGAAGGACAGGACACTGTTAGAGGCTGGAGAAGCAAACTGCTCTGAGCAGGACTCCAAGAAGACTAGAGCAGAGCTCTGGGGCTCGTCTGCACCCAAAGGAAGAGGAGAAGGAATCCCTTCAGCTGCTGGTTTGGCCAAGAGCAGCAGGCAGGGAGGCAGAGGCTGCAGCAAAGCCGCTCTATTCTCAGGGAGGGAACACAGTGCCTGTGCAGGGAAGGGTTTGGATGGAGCAGGGCTGGCAGCAGAGCTGGCAGGGACAGGCAGCACTGGGAGGCAGCAGAGATGACGTGGATGTTTGACGCCATCAGCTCCTCAAGGGCACCACCTGAGAACCTGGTTCCCAGGGCTCTCCTGACAGGCTGAAGGCAGGTGGAGGCTTCAGGGATAAGAACAGGGATCATTCTCCCCACTCCTATCAGCAAACCAGTACAATGATGGGCCCTTCCACAGGAAGGGGGGTAAAGTTAATGGGAGAAGGCAAAATTCAGAAGGGGACAAGGAGAGATGGCACTGAGCTGGCCTCTGGAGGTTTACAAATACATTTGGGCATCGTGTTAAAAGGGACAGAGCAGTGAGAGAACACAGATGAGAAAGGAAAGGCAAGAGAAATCCTGTTCTGGGATGCACTACCACGAAAACCCAATACAAACTACAGGGAACTTTTCCTGGCACCCCCCAGGGACTGACAAGGCACTTAGGGAGATGACTGTTAGTTACCACACCGAAAAAAGAATGCAACAGCACAGAAGTGAAAGGCAGAGCAAGAGGATTCAAGAAGCGTTTCAGAAGTCAGATGAATTAAGGGGGAAAGTTTTCTGCAGAACACGTGGATGGAGACAGACCTGTTCTCCCACCTTCACCACCCACCTGGCACTTGTGCTTTACCCTAAGCCCTCCTTTCCTTGTTTTTTTTAGTAGAGCTTTAAGCAGAGAAGCCATTAACTGAGAGAGGATTAATCCAGACCAGGCATGATGTTTTAGTACCTTCTGCTCAGAGCCTGCAAGGCTGGGATTAAATATTACAAAGGTAGAGATGATACAATAATTACTGAAATGTTTCAGAACTCCAGCCCCAAATCACACTGGGATGCCCGTGTCTCTGTCTCCTCTATCCAAAACCAGCTGCTCTAGAGCACTGAAATAGATGGATTTATGTGCTGCTTAATTCAAAGGTATCTGCTGAAAGAAGATTAGGATAGCTAAAGCAAGAAAACAAAAAAACAAATATATTGAAACTTCGTTTACACTCCAATAAAAGACAAAGCCCGTCCCTCCTCTGACTGCGGAACTGGCCTGTACCTCTGTGATAAATTATCACCTAGAGAGAAGAAATCTAAAGAGATATCGTTAATCACAGTCAAACAATTCACAGAGAGAAAAGAAACAAAAAAAAGAACTTACTTAACATTACCATACTTTACTATGAAACACTTAAATATGTCACTAAGGATGTATGTCTAAATTAAAAATAAAACTAAGACTTAACAGCTTAATAAATATGAAGTGAAGGATATACTTCTTAATAATGAGGCAGAAGAGAAATGAAAGTTCAGATGGCAAACTATTCTCTAGCATGTCGAACATGCTACAGGGTGGGAGCAAAGCTAAAGGATTGGCTCTTCCTTGGCAAACTGACGGTGGATGCAATGGCACATGGGTGACATGGAACTTGCTTCGTATTTTGACCAAAGGTTCCCAACTCGATTCAATATCTAGTGAATCTTCCATGGTCTGGGCTTTCTCCCCCTCTTAAAAAGCCGTCTGGCACACAGGGATTGTGAGTCCCAATCAAAAAAAAAAATATAAATATGCATATTTCAGAATTATTCTGTGTGGTTTAAGAAGTGTTTTGCTTTAATTTGAGGTGAAGCCATTTAACCAAAACAAAAGCAGATGATGGATGGATTCTGTCCTGTCTTGTGCTCTGACTGGAGCACTCCCCATGCACTTACAGATCCAACATACCTTTCATGTGCAATAGGAGGAAAATCTGCTTATTTTTTTCCCCTCCAAAAGTACCTTCAGCCAGACAAATGGCTTGAGAATCAAATTTCATTTCATCTCAAAAAACAACCCCCATAAATGAGCATGAAACGTCTGAGTTGAAATGCACAGACCCAAGTGAAGCCAGAGATGAAGAGTCTAGACTTGAAGTGATGTTTGCCCAGTGAATTATTCTTTTTCCTGAGGCAACAGAAGAGAGAAAAAAAAATCTACCTTTTCTGATGGTGTGAAATAGTTTGCCATCTGACTATAGGAGAGTATGAAGAAATTTCAAGGACAAACTAGATCAGCCTTTACCTCGGGGCCTCTGTTTCTCTGCGTCATAGATCATTACAACTTCAGTGACCTGGAAGAGAGGAGGGAAATTCTACTCACTGTGCTACCAGGGGAGGGCTGGAACAGTCACCACAGGCTGGTTCCTGCTCTCGACCCACACAGCACAATTCAACTGCAGCCACCAACCCCAGGCACAGCACAAAAACCAGGAACATTGCTCTTCCTGGGGGTTTGGAAAGCCTCAGTCCATCCATCCATCCATCCATCCATCCATCCATCCACAAAGCTGCTGTACTGTCTCATCACGCTTAACATTTTAATCCACCATTAAGGCCATTACACTGTCTGTACCCACACCACGGCCTATAAAACACCCCAAAGGTTTGTCTTCCAAGAGCTCATCAGGGCAGCTTCTTAGAAGATGACTTTTCCCATTTTTAGCCATTTTCACTCTCACCATGAGCTCCAAACACATTTAGGAGCGTGCACTGTGGCCCGGAGCACCAGTCAAACTGATGCTTTACACAGCTTTACAAACCCCCTCTAACTGCATTCCACAGCTGTGGAACGTGCCCCCTGTTTTTATAACGGGTCTGCTGCAGCCTTTCAAGCTGAAGAAACACTTGTTAGCCGTTGCTTGTTGTTTAAATAAATTATCTTAACGGAATTTTAAATAGGGTTGAGAAATGATTAGCTGTTGATAAACTTGTTTCTCTGCAAACCCTTTGCTGCCACTAAGAAAACCCAGAGAAAAGTGAATAAAGTATAAAAAACCCCACACCAAATGCCACTCAAAGGTGACAAGTTCATGTCCACTGGCACAGTCCTGAATTTACCTCAGGCAATCTTTAAGTTCCTCAAACTTATTCACAGGTGAATTATTTAATCCAGTGGTTTATCATCTTAAAGGGGCAGTGAGACCTGGGATAAGTGGGAATTAAAACTAAATAGAACCCCCACACACAAATTAGAAGAAATAGTAATTTCAGTCTGAGGTCACAAACTGAATTAAAAGCAATTAAAAGCTGTATAATATGAGTAGCAGTTTGTCTCAGAAGGAGGTTCCAATGGGAAAGAGAGGAAAAAAAAAAATCATTCTTGAGCCACCTCAACCTGGGAGCTTTTGGAGGAAGGGACAGAATATTGCAACAGGCAGACTTAAAGCAAGGAGACAGAAGCAGCACAATAAACTCCACCCGAGCAGCAGGTTCTCTCAAGGGACATTTCCAGACCATCAACACTCACTACAGTTCACCACCAAACGCTTCACGTGCCCCTGCAGCGGTTTGTCCAAATCCCCCCCAAATCTGACAGCCTGAGGACACGTGACAGGAGGCAGCAGGGGGGAAGCTCCCCCCGAGCGGGCCCAGGGACTCACCACTCCGAACTTCTTGAAGTATTCCCTGAGCTCTGTCTCGCCACAGTTATGAGGAATCCCACCAACAAAAATTTTATTGGATTTATTGTTATCGCTCCTGGATCCTTTCTGCTAAATCAAGGAGGAAAAAATTCAGTCAGAAGGACAATAAAGTCGGCTGCCTCTGTCATTTCACACTGAACCACGAACAACAAGCTCTGGCAGGCTGAGGGGAGATCTCCAGCCTTGAAGTCTCCCAGTCCTGAAGGCAGAGCACATTCTGAGCTCAGAGGTTCAGTGTTCCCTGTTCTCCAGAGGACCAGAAATCCAGGGCCTGCATTCTGAGGCCATTTACTCATTCTACACTGACCTCTGATGAAGCTGCAGGGTGTGGAGTGGGCTGGAACAGCATCAGCCCTGCGAGGGCCCTTCCAGACACTGCTCTCGAGTCTGAAGAACTGACTAAAAGCAGCACTAAGAGCTTAAGAAACACCACACCCAAACTGACACAAGTGTTGGTGAACACTGCCCTGCACCTGGACCTGCCCGTGCAAATCCAAGGGAAAGACACTGTGCAGAAATAAATTTACACTCCAGGCCTGCACACTGCCTTCTGCCTTTGGAACATGGATACAACCCAAGGGAATTCAATTCAACTGCTGGAAGCTAAGCCAGAACTTAGACAACAGGCAGGGTACACAAGGATCTTTCCTTACCCATCCTTCCTTCGGTCGTGTCCGTTCTGGCTGCATCCCCCGAGGTGTACATGGCTTTGGATCAATCTGGAAGAAGTTCCAGTTTGGTCAGACCTCAGCATGCAGAATTTTGCTCGAAAAGTTACCGTGTGTGGCAGCTGAAGCCAGCGCTGCTGACACCCAGCACTGCTGACACCCAGCTCCTCAGCACAAACCACTGACTTAGAGCTGCCTTCCAACAAATCAACTGAAACCAACAACCAGGTGACTTGGACACTCTCCAGTCTGCAAATGAGGAGCCAGACTTTAAAGCAAATCTTTGGATCTGGAGCAGAGAAGAAAAACCAACCAAAAAAAACCCCAACACAAAAGCAACTTACATTTCGGCCATCTAACGTATGAGGTCTGCTGGCCAGCACTGTTCCCACACAGTTGGGATCTTTAAATTTGACAAATCCAAATCCTCGAGATTGATTTGTTGTTTTGTCTTTCATTATTACACAGTCTACAACTTCTCCATACTGGGAGAAGTAGCTACGAAGAGTTTCTGTTGAAGAAAAAAAGCAAATATTAAACAGAACCAGAGACTGGCAGCACCAGACTGTGTTTGCAGTAACGAGCCAACAGATAAGCAAACAACAGCGAAACAACTTAAACTCATCTTTTGAAAAGGATCACATTTTACTTCCTGTAAACCAAGGCTAAATAACAGTCTGCTTCCACTCACACAAATGGAAAGCAGTACCACAGGAAAGCGATCACAAAAATGGCTGGGTTGACAAAAACTCCAGCACCAAACACCAACAGAAAATACAACCCCAGAAGTATTAACATGTACCTGAGCTCTCTCTACAGAGTTTTATTAATTAGCAGAGAGGAGCAGAGAATCTCAGCCCAGAGCAGTGTCAGTTAAAAGCTCTGCCCAAGGCCTGCAGCAGCTGTCGCTCACCTTGTGTCGTGCTCCAGTCCAGGCCACCCACAAACAGCTTCCTGCAAACAAAGCACAGGGCAGGTTTAGGGGACACAGCAGATGCTACATCTTATTTAAGGCCCGAGTTGGTTGTTCTGGAGAGCTCTGGGGGTACCCCAGCACACCCTACAACGCCAGCACCTCACTAGAGCCTGCTGATTAAACCAAACCCCCCCTCCACTCCTGCTCCCTCCCTCAGCCACTGCTGTCTGCCAGCATCTGCTACTGGAGGGAAAGCAAAAGTACAGCTGCCAAGCACAGGTCTGAGACAGAGACAAACCTGTGTGGCAGGTCCTAAATAACAGAGCAGTGCTAATCCAGCCACTCGCTGGGAAACCATTGGACAATCCAGCTTGGAGATATCACCCAGCAGATGAGACAGCCATGGCTAAACCCCAAACAAAACTGCTTAAAACTAAAACAACTCATCTTCTGCAAAGAGCACCCAAATCTGCAGGGTTTCATGTCAGAGCATGCCCAAGTGCCTGGGTAAGTGCTCAGAGGAGCTCCCTGCCAGCTCTGCATCTCTTTATCAACTTTTGGGTGTGACAAAACTTCCAGCAAAGTCATTTACTCTGTAATTAAAGGTTGGTTACAGCCACCTCAACACTCAGCCCTTTCTGTGCAAAGCACCAACTCAAAAAAACCCAACACCTTCCATGGGGGTCTGCAGCTTCCTGGGGTGAGCAGCTCTGCTCCCTGACAGACCCAGCCGGCCCCTTCTGCTCCGATTCCCTCCTGTGATGTGACATCATGTCACGACCCTTCTGCACCAGCCCCAGGGACTGAGCTCAGCACCACACAGCACCTACGAGCCTTGTTCCATCAGGGCCAATTCTGTCCCTAAGTCAGTGGCTGAGACGTGACACGAGTCTTGTCTTTCAAAAAAACAGACCAACTGTTAAGGGCTGATCAAAGCGTCTCCTTGAGCGGCCAGAAAACAACTGAGCTGGTGACATGCAAAGCAAATACAGCCCTCAGTGTCCCAGCAGACACTGGCTGCATCTGCTCCTGCCTTATCGTAATGCACGGGGACATGTCCCCCCTCCCCAGGCCCCTCTGAGAGTGGCACACCCAGGACATGTCCCCCCTCCCCTGCCTGTTTTCTGCTTGCGTGTTCGGGATGACGAAGTTTTCCTCAAGGATTGGAAAAGTGCCCCCTGCTCCCTCTGGCAGCGCTCGGGCTCCTGGCACGGGCTCAGGGCCTTGCTCAACACCAGCCAGTGCTCGGCAACAGGTCGTGCTCTGGCACAGCCCAGCTTCACCCCCACACCTGGGGCTCCTGGTGGCTTCACAACCGTCCCTCTCCACGCACACAACACACAAATCTACGCGCTCCTCGTGCTGTTATTCTCAGGGAAAGTAGGTTCTATAGAGAAATAATTCTACTTCCCAATAGCAAAGAAAAAACTGCTGATCTAATGCTACATTCACGTTGAAGTTTCAGTGTGTTGGCAGCACTGTCTTGATCAGCTGCATTTGAGCTTATGGACTGGGTTTGGGTGTTTTTAACTAAATCTGATAGCTTGGTACACACGATCAATCTATTTTAGATCACACCACTCTGTGCAGGGAGGGAGGTCACTGAAACCTTCCCATTCCACTATTAATTATTTGTAGTCACCCTACATGCACTGGGACAGAAAAGCTGGGCCACCCATGCCCAGCTCCAGCAGCTGTATGGAAATACACAGCTCTGGAATGCCAAAGCCAGGAATCCCCTGCCTTGGGCTCCTCCGTGGATTGGTCTGAACACAGAGAGCAGGGCCAGACTTCACCTATCCCATCAGCTCCAGAGTTCACAAGGATCCAGATGTGGTTCCGTGCAGGACAGCTGTGTGAGCTCCATCCCTGAGCCCAGCACCATCAGCAGCCCCTTCCCAAGGTCTTACCCACGCTGCACCCTGTCCCCCTGAGCGCTGTCCAAACCCTCCTGGAGCTCTGGCAGCCTTGGGGCCGTGCCCACTGCCCTGGGGAGCCTGTTCAGTGCCAACCACCCTCTGGGGGAAGAACCTTTCCCTGATACCCAACCTGAGCCTGCCCTGACACAGCTCCAGCCCTTCCCTGGGTGCTGTCCCTGCTCACAGAGATTGGAGCTGCCCCTCGAGAGGAACCTGCAGGCCCTCACAAGTCTCCCCCCACGTTACTGGTTTGCACCTGCTGACACCACCACAACCTGCACCCCCAGAGCTCCCAAGGCACAGCCTGCAGTGGCAGAGGATGCTACAGCCCATCCCCTGGGGAATGCAAAGCTGTTCCCAGCACAGCCAGGGGGTAACAGGACCCACCAGCCCGTGCTTTGGGCAGGTCTGTCTGTCCACCACGAGCTGGGTGTGCTGTGTGAGACCCTGCCAGGTGCAGCACAATTCCCCCCAGGGATCCCTTCAGGAGCAGGAAGCGGGATAATGACTCCTCAGAAGTTCCACCTCACTACTTCCTGTGAGAATTTTAATTGCTAATTTATTCTTTGTTGCCAAAAACAACGTACTTGCTGCTGGAGCAAATAATCCCAGAGTTAGTAAAAAAAGTATTGCAGAACACCAAAACTCAACAAAAGCAACAACTCCTCACCTACATAAATAATCTGGGGTTTGATTAACACCTCTGATGTCTCAGCTGCAGGACAGAAGGACAGAGATCAGCACTTTTCTTCCATCCAAAACAGTCCTAAGTACTAATTAATTACAACAAGTAACTCTCACAAGGCCCCCCTGCCCATGCCAACACACCTGCAAGACCTACAGCCTCCCTAAGTGGGTTTTCTTAAAATCTCAGTCTAGAAAAGCAGCTGAATTCGTAACTTCCCATTCAGAGATGCCTCTCCCAAAGCTTTGAACCAGAACTTCCTCCCCAGGCCGAAGCAGCTGAGCAGAGCTGCCTTTTGTTACAGTTCTCACCTCTCCTCTGAGCACTTCTGGGGGAGCAGGATAAAGAAAGTTCCCTCTCTGACTAACCCCCAATCCTTCCCAATGTGATTACAGCTCCAAGGATCACATCCCAAACAGCTCCTGACTGGGAACGAGCTCTGGGCCAGCCGAGCCTGCTCAGGAGGGGAGCTGATGATATTTCATGGAATAACCTGGAGCCTGGCACTCACCTAAGCCTGGGAGGACAGACCTGAGCAGTCTCTCATAAGGCACCAGACAGTGGTTAAGGCCCAGGTGCAAATAACAACACTTTCAGAGCCAAACCTACGAATTTAAACAGGCCTGTGTTGGAACAGGGGGTTAGAACCAGATGATCTTTAAGATCCCTTCCAACCCAAACCATTCCAACACGTTATTCCAATGGCTTTTCTTGCCTCCTGTATTTTTAGGGTTTACAAATTAAGAACAAGCAGCAAGTAAGCAGCTTACAAGGCACTGCAGGCAGCACGGGGCGAGTGCTTCGTGTCCGCTCCACTTTCAAACAAGGTGACCAGTCCTGAGGAGCAAATTCTGTGCCCAAACGTGCAGTGGAAGAACCAGCCAGGGGTCTTTCCATTCTGTTTTTGCTCCTTCGAGTTCTCTCATGCCCAGGTCTGCAGCCTGACCATTTCAATGTCACAGGCTTTAGGACAGAGCTCTGAAGTAGCACGGTACTGAGTGGAACTGTATGGTCCATGAGGTCCCTTCCAACCCAAGACTTTCTGTGACTGTTAACACACCTCAGAAGAGCCAGACCTGTGTGTCAGGTTATTGGTTTGAAGGCTCAAAACCCCCGGGAACCCTCAAAACCAGGATTTTCCTGCCTGGAGCCCACCCTGTGCAGAGGACAGCAGAGGGAGCTCAGGAGGGTGGCACAGCAGGGGGACGCTCCCGGTGCCCCCTCCTCCCCGTGAGCAGCCCCTCGGGGCGGCCCTGATGAGTCACTGGAACAAAGTCCCCCAGGCAGGTTCACAGAACGCTCTGGGTTGGAAGAGATCCACAGGGTCCCGTCATTGCTCGCAGGGAGCAGAGCTCAGTGCCTGCCCCTCCGCTTCCCCCCACGGGGAGGTCGTAACTGCAATGAGCTCTCCCCTCAGCCTGAAAGCACCAAGTGCCCTCACGCGGCTTCTTCCCCTCAAGGCCCTTCAGCATCTCCGTGTCCCTCCTGTGGACGCTCTCTAGCGCCTTTAACCCTTTCCTTTAACACTGTGGCGCCCAGAACTGCACGCGGGACTCAAGGTGAGGCCGCGCCAGCGCGGGTCGGGATGCGGGTCGGGCGGGCGCGGTGCAGGATGCGGTGCGGGTCGGGCGGGCGCGGTGCAGGATGCGGTGCGGGCCGGGATGCGGGTCGGGCGGGCGCGGTGCAGGATGCGGTGCGGGCGGGCGCGGGAAGCGCCGCGGGCGGGTGACCTTGGGCGCGCGCACCTGCCGCAGCCCCGCGCGCGCCGGTCACGTGACCGGGGGGGACACGACACCCGGCAGGGGCACCGGGGCGCCCTCACGGCGGGACCGGACCCCCCCTCAGCACCCCCCGCACCGGCACCGGGCCCCTGAGCCCCCTGAGCCCCCGCACCCGGCACCGGCCCGCCCTCAACAGCCCCTGACCCGGGACGGACGCCATCCCCCCGCCCCATCCTCAGCAACGCCGACCCAGGACCGGCCCCTCCTCAGCACCTCCGACTCGGGAACAGCCTCGCCTTCAACCCCTGACCCCTCACCGGCCCCCCCGCAGCACCCCCCGACCCCACTCCAGACACCCCTCAGCGGCCCGGCACCGGGCCCCACGAGCATCCCCGGCCCGGGAGGCCCGGCGCGACCTTCGCTCCAGGCTGCGGGAAAGGTGACCGAGACGGACCCTCCCACACACCTCCCCGTCCCGGCGCGCCGCCCCCACCTTCCCTCACCCGATCTCATCGGCGCCTCCCACGCTGTTCATGGCGGCGGCGCCTCCAGGGCCGCGCCCGGCTGTGCCCGGCGGCGGTGCCAGCGGCGGGTGGCGGGGCCCGCGGCGGGCGCTGCCGGCCGAGTCCCGGCGTCCGTGTCCCGGTTCCCCCGCCGCCCCCGGCCCGGCCCGGCCCCCGCCGCGCGCTCGCGCTCCCTCAGCGCCGCCGCTGCGCGCGCACCCGCCCCTCGCTACGGGGTCTCCGGGGCCGCGCCCAGGGAGGGGCGGGGCCGCGCGCGCGGGGCCAGGCGGGAAGGGCAGTCCGGGAGAGGGGGGGGCCACAGGGTCCTAGTGCCGCCCACCCACCCATAGGGTCCTAGTGCCGCCACCCACCCACAGGGTCCTAGTGCCGCCCACCCGCAGGGTCCTAGTGCCGCCCACCCACCCGCAGGGTCCTAGTGCCGCCCACCCAGGGGTCCTAGTGCAGCCCACCCACCCGCAGGGTCCTAGTGCCGCCCACCCACCCGCAGGGTCCTAGTGCCGCCCACCCACCCGCAGGGTCCTAGTGCCGCCCACCCACCCGCAGGGTCCTAGTGCCGCCCACCCGCGGGGTCCTAGTGCCGCCCACCCACCCGCGGGGTCCTAGTGCCGCCCACCCGCAGGGTCCTAGTGCCGCCCACCCACGGGGTCCTAGTGCCGCCCACCCGCAGGGCCCTAGTGCCGCCCACCCACGGGGTCCTAGTGCCGCCCACCCGCGGGGTCCCAGTGCAGCCCACTCGGGGGTCACACCCCCCTCGTGGGGTCCTATTGCCCACCCGGGGGGTCCTACTGACCCCCGCAGGGTCCTACGGCCCACCCGTGGGGTCGCAGCGCCCACCACCGGGTCCCAGCGTCCATCCGTGGGGTCCCACTGCCCACCTGCAAGGTTCCCCACCTGGCCACACAGGAGTGCTGGTCATCCCCTCAGCAGTGACCCCCAGGAGCCCGGACACCCCCGGCACCCCCCAGTTCTTCCCTGTGCCCCCCAGGTGTGTGACCACCCAGGCCTGGCAGCCCGTGCCCACCCCGCGGTGCCCCTATCCCGATAAGGGCTCCCGATCCCGATAAGGGCTCCGCAGGGGCCCCAGCCGGCCCTGCACACTCAGCACTTTCCAGCCCGGCTATTTAAAGCGAGCCAAGAGCCGAGCTGCCCTTTCCCTCCCGGCCTGTCCAGCTGCTCTCTGCTCCCGCAGCCATGAGCTCCGGGGCGGCGGCGGGGCCGATCTTCGCCGAGGGCGAGGACTGCAGGGCGGCCTGGAGCGAGGCCACGGCCGGCTACGATGAGCCCGACGCCCACCTGGAGATCCTGGGCAAGCCGGTGATGGAGCGCTGGGAGACCCCCTACATGCACTCGCTGGCCACCGTGGCTGCCTCGAAGGGTAACGGGGCCCCCCCGGGCTCAGGGACGTGGTGGGGGCAAAGGGTCACTGTGGGATCAGCCAGGGGGGCAGCAGGTGGCAGGGACACAGGGCCGAGCTCAGCTCCAGCAGCATCACACACTCCCAACCTGCACCAAAAAAAACCAATCTGGGGAAAGAACGAGGCAGAATTTGGGGCTGGGGGGGTCCAGGGCAGAGCAAAGCCAGGGCTGTGTGTCCCTGGGGGTGCCTGGCCCTCCCAGCTGCCCTCCCGTCCCCAGGTGGGCGCGTGCTCGAGGTGGGCTTTGGCATGGCCATCGCCGCCTCCAAGGTGCAGCAGTTCGACATCCAGGAGCACTGGATCATCGAGTGCAACGAGGGCGTGTTCCGGCGCCTGGAGCAGTGGGCCAAGGCACAGCCGCACAAGGTCAGCCCGGGGTGGGCTGTGCCAGGGCTGGGGGGTGCCTGTGCCCCCCTCACCTCAGCCCTCTGTCCCCCTGCCCACAGGTGGTGCCCCTGAAAGGGCTGTGGGAGGACGTGGTGCCGACGCTGCCCGACGGGCACTTCAGCGGTGAGACGTCCCCAGAGGCACAGGGAGGGCCTGGGTGGGGTCCCCATGGCAGAAGGGGGGGCACAGCAAGGCAGGAGCCCTGGGCAGGGGGGTGCTGGGACATCCCTGAATTGTGGAAAGGGGGGGAGCAATTTGGCCAGGGTGGGGTGGGGACCCAGCCCGCTCCATCCCGTGGGATCTGGGAGAGACACCGGGGGAGCAGCAGCTCGGTGCCTGCCGGGGTCAGAGACACGGGGGGCAAAGTGCAGCAGGGAAACCCCGAGCCAGGCTGTGAGGGGGGCCTTCCCCCGGCCCTGGAGCCCCTGGGGGTCTGTCCTGGCTGATGGTCCCGGTGCCCCCGGCAGGGATCCTGTACGACACGTACCCGCTGTCCCAGGACACGTGGCACACGCACCAGTTCAACTTCATCCAGGTAACGTGGGGGGCGGGGGGAGCCCGGAGGGGCTGCCAGGGCCGGGTGCTGAGCAGGGGGTGCCGAATTTCCCGGATTCCCACGGCAGGGTCACGCCTTCCGCCTGCTGCGGCCTGGGGGGGTCCTCACCTACTGCAACCTGACCTCGTGGGGGGAGCTGCTCAAGACCAGGTACAGCGACATCGAGAGGATGTTTGAGGTGAGCGGCGTTGTCCCCGTGTCCCACCGTGACCCCCCTGCCCCCTGGACACCCCAACCCAGGGCTGCCCCTCCCTCCCCTCCTCTCCCGCAGGAGACCCAGGTGGGGCCCCTGGTGCAGGCCGGGTTCAAGAGGGAGAACATCAGCACGAGGGTGATGGAGCTGCAGCCCCCCCCGGAGTGCCGGTACTACTCCCACCCCAGGATGATCACACCCACCGTCCTGAAACACTGAGGGGAGCGGGACACAAACCCTGGGGACCAGAGGTACCAACAGCTCTGACCTCCTCCTGACGAGAGAGAGCAAACCCGATTCATCCAGAGGGAGCTGGAGGCTCGGGATGGAAGTCCAGCAGACAAAAGGACTGGAAGGTCCCTGCCAGGAGCCCCCTGCCCCACAGGAGTCTTCTGGGCTCTGTCCAAGAAGAACCTACCCTGTTCTGTCCTGACAGGAGGGTTTCCACTGAAGACTCATCTCCAAATTCCTCAGTTAAGCTGGAATTCCAGGGCTTTGGCCAAAGGGGTTCCAGAACCAGCCATTTCCTCTAAAAACTGGATTATTTTGAGACATCACAGGGTGCCTTTCCACAGACGAGCCAAATGATCCAAACCAGGCAGGAGAAACTGGGAAGACAGAGCAGTTTGAGGTGTTCTGAGGCATTTCGGCTGCTCCTGGAGCAGCTCCCCAGGGAGGTTTCCCAACACTTCTGGCCAAAGCCCCTGGCAGTGAGTCCTGACCCTGACACCCCCCTCCCAGCTCAGTAAATGTTTCCTCTCTCCCCAGAAGGGATAAAGTCCATTAAAAGGAATGAAACACCCAAACTGCTGTTCTGTTCCCGAGTTATTTATTTGTCTTTCCAAAGTGTGTTTGTCCCCCTGCCATGACCTTTCCTTATCCCAGACTCCTGGGATGCAGCCAGGACAGGCTGCTTTACCCCTACTCTGCTAAGGAGCTCTGCATTCAGGTTTAGGAGGCAGGTTCTGATTTCAAGCACTAATATTTTACTGAGTTACACAAACAGAATGGCTGCCTGGCCCCGTGCACACAGATATTACAGATTTATTAGATCCTGTGTGGGAATTATCTACAGGGAGCAGGTGGTGAGTAAGGGAAGAGCTCGGGGATCACCTGGACATGTGTTGGTCTCAAAACTTCCCAATAAAACTACAAAGCACACCTCAGCTTCTGGTCAGGCCTTTATGTCGTGATATGACATCACTCTGCTTCCCTCACGGGTTGTTCAGAACACAGGCCAACACACTGAGCGTTCCCAGATTCAGCTCCAGCTTTTTAGCCCAGTTTTTTTAGTCCAGTTTTTCCATCACAGGGATTTATTAAAGACAGAAGAGCACCTTGACCAGGTAGAGTTTTATTGAAGGCGCGTGAGGACCCGGCTTTGTGCGTGACGTGAGCGGTGCCCGGGGGCAGAGTGGGGACATAAATAAAGGCTATTTCCTGTACCAGATCTGAATCCTCTTCTCCCGCTTGATTTTCCTCTGGAGCTGCAGGATCCCGTAGAGCAGAGCCTCAGCTGTAGGGGGGCAACCTGAGAGAGACAGAGAGGAAGGGAAGGGAGGAAGGAGAAGGGTGGACGGTTGCAGGGCTGTACCTGCCTGGAGATGGAGCCAGCAGGAGAGGTGACAGCCAACCACAGCTCACACCTCCCACAGCCCTGACAGCGACACCGCCAGCACAGCCCTCGCTGCAACCTCAGCAGAGCTCCCTGAAGCTGCTGCAGCTTCACCAGCACACTTTGAAACAGGAAAAGCCTTTGAAACCCCCCTCCAGCTCTGTGGCAATGCCCAGAATTGCCTCGCTCCCGCCCTACCTGGCACGTAGATGTCCACGGGCACGATGCGGTCGCAGCCCCTCACCACAGAGTAGGAGTAGTGGTAGTACCCTCCACCATTGGCACAGCTGCAGGAGAGGGGCAGGGTCAGACCCTTGGTCAGCCCAGAAGGGGGGCAGAAGGCCAAGGGAAGGTGACCTTGGCAGGTGGGCACTGGCTGAGCTCCAGGGAAGGACAGGGCAGGTGACACCGTGGTCCTTCAGCCCCTTCAGGAGCCCTGGCTGGTACATTTTTAGCCCAAACACAAATTCCAGGATCGTGGACATACACAAGCTCCTGGGCTCTGGCAGCTGCAACCCCCTGGACCTGTCCCTGGGGGGACTGTGCAGCTCCCAGTGACTCACACACGCCATTCCCAGTCAGAGGCAGCTTCGCTGCTCCGCTCTACGGGGCCTCTTTAGAGAACTTAAGGGCTTGGAGTAACAGGCGAGCAAAGAATCCCCCTCCCTGCCCCTCCCTGCACACACAGACTCTCCCAGGGGTCCCGGCACCCACCTCCCCATGGAGACCACGTAGCGAGGCTCCGGCATCTGATCGTAGACCTGCGAACAGGGACGTTTATTTGGGGTCACCCCCGGCGCCCCCCGCGCCGATCCCAAAGCCCCCCAGGCCCCGGTACCTTGCGCAGGGCCGGGGCCATCTTGTTGGTGAGGGTCCCCGCCACGATCATGACGTCGGCCTGGCGGGGGCTGGCGCGGAACACGACCCCGAAGCGGTCCATGTCGTAGCGGGGCGCTGCCATGTGCATCATCTCCACGGCGCAGCAGGCCAGCCCGAAGGTCATGGGCCACAGGGAGCTCTGCGGGGACAGGGGCACAGCTGACTCCGGGGGGGAAGGGGCTGTGAGGGTGGAGAGACCCCCAGTGGGGACGTCAGGGCTCGCTGCCCACCTGGAAGAGCCATCTTCCCCAGAGACAGCTTCAGGTGTTTCCCCCTCCTGCATTCCAGGGAAGCGCTCCCTGGTATGGGAAAAAGGTAAGTCCTTGCAGACACGTGTGAGGGCCCCCTCAGAGCGGGGGCCAGGGGTGATAAAAGCCCTGAGGGGAACAGGGGTGGCCCTTTCCCCAGGCCCGGTGTTTGAAACAGTAAAGTTCTTTAAGTCCAGTGTTCTCCACTTCGGAAATAAATTTTCCTCCCCCTCTCCCACTGCCTGGCATCCTGGGGGTGCCTGGGCATTGTCTGACCTTACAGAGTCCGTCAGACAGAAGGGAAACGGAACAGGAGAAGTTCAGAGTGTGGGGGAGCTCTGTCACTGGAGCCCAATGTCACCCTCTGCCCGTGTAACCCTGCCAGGCGAGCTCTGAGCCTATTTTTATCCCCAGCAGCAGGGGACTCCGGTGTTTCCCTGGATCCCAGGCGTCCCGGGACTCACCCGCCGGGCCCAGTTGACCAGGTCATCGAGCTTGGTGACGATGTACTCGCCCCGGCTGCTGGGGACAAAGGACTTCTTCTGGACCACGGCTGAGCTCTTCTGGGCCTGCACAGCGCTGCAGGGAACAGCACAGGGGGTCAGGCCCCGACTCCCTGAGCAATCCGTGGTACGCTGGACAAGGATGGACAATCCCACACCCTCTGGGGCTGCGGTTGGGGCAGAGGGGTCTCCCCCAGTGTGGGGTCTGGAGCTCAGGCAGAGCCTTCTCTGCCCCACCCGGATCACAGAGCGCCCCTGGCTGCCTGTCCCCAGGGCTCCCCCAGCTCCAGCTCTCCCTGGATTCCAGCGGGGGAGCGAGGGGACACCTGGCAGGTAAGCTGCCTTACCTGTCTGCACGATCGGCCGCCGGCGTCTGGTGGAGCAGCTGAGCCTGGACAGGAGCCACAGCGCCGGGCCTGGGGGGCAGAAACACCCGGGGCTGACAGGGTGACACAGCCCCTCCAGGGGCAGAAACACCCGGGGATGACAGGGTGACACAGCCCCTCCGGGGGCAGAAACACCCGGGGCTGACAGGGTGACACAGCCCCTCCGAGGGCAGAACAGCCCCGGGCCGGGGCAGCCGCTCAGCTGCGGGCTGGGGGCTCCACCAGGGGCTGGGCTCCCACCTCCCCGACCCCCGCACACCCCAGCCTCGTCCCCCGCGCTCACCGCCAGCCCAGCGCGCCGTGCCCGGGCAGCCGGAGACCTGCAGGAGAGGACGGCAGAGCTCAGCCCGGACGCGTCCCCTCAGGGCGGCGGAGCCCCCTCAGGGTCCGTCTGGGCTCAGTCCCTGCGCGGAGGGCGAGTCCCGCTCTCTGTCCGCGTGCCCCGGGGGCTGTCGCGGTCCCCGCTCACGGCCCATCCCGCCCGGTCCCAGCCCATTCCCAGCCCATTCCCCGCTCACGGCCCAGCGCTGCCGCCGCCGCCGCCATTTCCCGCAGCCCTTCACGCAACCTCTGCGCGCGGTGCGCCCCCGAAAGGGGCCCGGTGCGCGCCGCCTCAGCGCTCCGGCGGGGAACGCGCGCCGCGGGCGCGGCCGTTCCGAGGGTCCCCCGCCGGCAAAGCGGGACCGGGAGGGGCCGGGGCGGCCCCGGGACCGCGGCAGGAAAAAGGAAAAAAAGGACGGGCGGCCGTCCCTGGGTGGGCTCGAACCACCAACCTTTCGGTTAACAGCCGAACGCGCTAACCGATTGCGCCACAGAGACCGCGCTGCCGCCGCCGCCCTGCCCCGCGTGTGCCGTGGCTCCCTCCGCGTCCCTTGACCAGGTACCCCCGTGTCCCGTATCCATGTCCCATGTCCCCTATCCATGTCCTGTATCCATGTCCCATGTCCCCCTCGTGTCCCCTATCTATGTCCCGTATCCATGTCCCATGTCCCACATCCCTGTCGTGTCCAGTATCCCACATCCCTCCCATATCCATGTCCCCTGTCCCGCATCCATGTCCCATATCCCATATCCATGTCCCATATCCCATATCCATATCCCATATCCCATATCCATGTCCCGTATCCCATATCCCGTATCCATGTCCCATATCCATATCCCGTATCCATGTCCCATATCCCATATCCATGTCCCGTATCCATGCCGGGTATCCCGGCGGTGACGGCCGTGGGGGCGGAGCGGGGCCGAACAGCCGAAATAGCTCAGCTGGGAGAGCGTTAGACTGAAGATCTAAAGGTCCCTGGTTCGATCCCGGGTTTCGGCAGCCGCTTCTTTTCCTGCCGGGCTCGCGCTGCAAAAGGGGGTTTTCACCCCAAAAACGCCGCTCCTGGTTATTTGAACATTCCTGGCAGTACACGCAATGGGTAAAGCTGTGGGGTTGTGACACTGGATCAATTATAAATAACAGGTGAGGGAATGTGCATTAATTAACACTGGACAGCCACTAATGAACAGAGGGGAGGTGCCAGACCATTTTAAATAGAGAACAAGGACAGAAAGCAGTAAAGTTCATTTTCCTGCTCTCAGCTCTGCAATTAATAACAAGGAGCCAAGACACCAGCACACAATATTACAGGCTCATCTGATACGTAAAAATAACCTTTACCTGATGTAAGACAGGGTGGAAGCACCTCCCTGAGCACCAACCACCACAGATTCAAATATGAAATCCAACCAGGACTATGGTAAGCCAGGATTATCCCTGGGAGTGTCCAAGGCCGGGTTGGACAGGGCTTGGAGCAACCTGGGCTGGTGGAAAACCCTGCCCCTGGCAGGAGTGGGTGGGTTTTGAGGTCCTTCCAACCCAAACCATTCCAGGATTCCATGACCGAGATGAAGGCAAGGAAAGGGAGGAGTTCTGCTTCCAGGCACTGCTGTGAAGGATTTTCACAGTACTGGAGGGATTTTGATGGAGAAGGGAACACAGGGCTGATGTAAAGGAATTACCTCAGAGCACCTGGATCAAGGGCAGGAAACCCCATCCTGACCTCTCACTTCCAAAGAGCCACTCCACAAACCCCTCATTAATTTTTTTATCCCATCCCCTAAAAGTCATTATCCCTCCTCACAAGTTTTAATAAAGCCCTCCCTTCCTGTTCTGTTCCTGTAATTGAGGTATTTGAGATAAGGGGAATGAGGATTCCATAGTGAAACTCGTTAGAGAGCACAGAGCAATTAAAAGTGTAATTAAAATATATTCAGATAATTACTGGAGCCAGAATAGACATCTGGATCCCAATTTAAACTTCTTCATTTCAAATCATCCTGGGTTTTATTGGACAAGCACAGAGATCCCATTTCATTATCGTGAAGAAACCCTAATCAGGGGGTTTTATCTATCATTTATCATTGTTTATCATTAATTAGTTCTTGGTGACACTGATTCCATGTGCCACAGCTCCAGCGAAGCTGGGCAGGATCAAACTGAGAATTTGAATGAGAAAAAAAAGCCAATTAAAAGCGTCCCTAAACTCTCAGCCTCAAAAGAGCCCACAAACCAGCACTCCAGTGGCTCGCTGCTACAGGAAAAGGGAATGTTTTTGTTTAGGCAAACCTGGATTCCTTCCCTGGGGAATTCCAGTTGTCCCAACAACACAGAGCGAAGCCTCGTGACTCAGACTGCAGCACTGGGCACCGACTTTATTTCCCACACTCGGGAGGCACGGGGAGCAGGAGCAGTGACCCCGCCGGGAGCGTTTCCCACCGGGAAGGCCGCCAGGCACAGGGACCAGGCCCTGCTTCCCCAGGACAGCCCTGCCTGGGGCTCACGGGGGGCTGGAACAACCCCCAGGGAAGGTGGGGTTAGGGCAGGAGGCTCTGCAGGCCCCGGGGAGGGCACTGGGGACGGGGCTGGCGGCGTGTTCGGGCGGCTGGCACGGCGAGGCCACGCTGAGGCCACGGGAAGCAGGAGGGCTGACACCAGAGCAGCTTTTGGGGGGGTTGAGGGGGCACACACAGGGACTCCAAAAAGAATTGCACGTTTATACAAATCACCACTGGCTGTTCACAGCCCTGGGGGCCAGCGCCCCTCAGCTCTCCTCAGGCTCCAGGGTCGACTTGAGCTTCTTCCATGCCCGGATTTGTTCATCGAATAACTCCCTCTCCCTGAAAAGGAAAGTAAGGAAGTTTTTAGGTAGATCTGGACACCTCTGGATAATCTGGGCAATTTAAATTCTGCAGGGTTGGAGTGGCTCAGCCAGAACGTTTTCCATGTCTAATCCTTTGTTTCTGACACCCACAGGAGGGAGGACACGGAGCTCTCCTGTCCTTACACTCAGCACCTTCCTGTACAAGCAGTAAACTAGTAAAAAACCTCAGGGACTACTGAAAATAAAAATACCTTTTGGTCACAGGTGGTCCTTTAATGTACTTCTCTTCTGCCTTCTCATAGTCGATGTCATACACAGCAGCAATGGCGTAGATAATGGCCTAGAAAAGCATTTAATTCATTTAGAATCACTAAACAAAGCAAAATCACAACCAGGGATTCGAAGCTGCCCCAGGTGAGCACGTTCCGAGGAAAGGGTTCCTCAATCATGTAGAAAACTTGGATGAAACTGCTCATTGTGTGCCTGAAATTCTTGAATAAGTGACACAAACCCGTCCTGTGTCATTCCCAGGGGAGTGTTTTTACCCCCAGACTAAGATGTTCTTCACAGTAATTTTGCTTCTACACAAGTTAATGTTCTCCTGGGAAAACTCCTGTGACGAACAGAAGAGGATCTGAAACAACCACAAAACCAAACAACTCATCACCCTCCCCCACTCACACGCAGAGAGCACCAAGAAAACCCTGAGAACTCGCCAAATTAAAAGAAAAACCCCCAAAACAAAGCTTTGAACCATTTCAGAAGTAATTAAAATACACCAGAAAGCGATCATTCTGCCTTTAAAAGCAACCAACTACTTAAAGCATCTCCTGTCTTGCTTAAAAGTCGGCACTTAGGTGACTCAGGCTGCGGGCAGGTGGGAGTATTCCTGCTCAGCTCAGCTCTGGGAACTCTCCCCAAGTCATCCCACGTGAATCACATCCCACCAAGCTCACAAACAACACCACTTGTTCGTTCCTTTCCCTTTCTCTCTCCCCGTTCCCTCACCTCGGGCAGCAGCACGTCCGAGATGAACTTGATGCCGTCCCCCAGGATCTGGCGCAGGTTGGTGGTGTCCATCTCCCTGTAGACTTCCTTCAGGTAGTCAAACACCAGCTCCAGCTGCTCCTCATCCTCCAGGTAAGTCTCCACACGGGTCACGTACCAGTAGGAGTTCAGGAATTTCTTCAGCCAGCGGGATTTTTTCCCGCTTTTCAGGATCCCCAGGAGATGTTCTTCCGCCCCTTTTGTTTTCACTATGAATTCCACGAGTTTTTTGTTCTCCCTGTCCCTGGCTGCTCTGCTCCTGTCTGGAAGGAGCCTCCTCAGGGGCTTCTGGGGGGAATTTTCCAAGGGAGACTCTTCAAGATCCTCCTCTTCCGTGTCGGGGAAGGTCATTTCCACCTCACTCTGCTGTCCCTGTTTCCTCACTGGGTAGCCTGAAACAAAGGCCACAGGCATTTCTATTTAAACATACAAAGGGCTCTCACATCCATAATTACACATACAAATAGAAAACAAGGAACTTTATTGGCAAGAGAGAATTTTTTCTTTCTTCCCTGCCAAAGAGGTTAAAAACCCACCACTAAAATCTTCATTTGCCTTAAAAAAAAAAAATTAAAAAAAAAAGAGATAAAGGAGTTGCCTCTGACATGAACTCTGCAATGTGAAGGAACCAGTTACAACTCCAGCTCTTCTGATTCCACGACGTGATTGCCTTGAACCATCCACATTTATTTAACTTAGTTAAAAACTTAATTAAAACCTTTAACTGCAGTAATGGCTATGTTGTGAATTTAAGGGCAGCCCCTCTCTGGGTCTGGTGCCAAACTCACTCGTGTGTAAATATTGGAGTTAAATTTACCAAACTAAGAAAAACTAAAAAAAAAAAGTGATGAATTCACTTACTGATGTCGGCAGCAAAATACTCCAGGAAGGAGCCGGTGAAGGAATGACAACCTAAAAACCCAAAACAGGGTGACTTATTTATCACTTGCATTCAGCCCAGGAGTCAAAGCTGGCAGTTTGGGGTTACCTTTTCCTGATGGGTATTGGGATGGTTGCCCAGGGAAGCTGTGGCTGCCCCAGCCCTGGAAGTGCCCAAGGCCAGGTTGGAGCAGCCTGGGCCAGTGGGAGATGTCCCTGCCCGTGGCAGGGTGGCACTGGATGGGCTCTGAGGTCCTTCCCACCCATTCCAGTCTGGGATTCCATGGCTGTGAGCAGCTGAGCCCTCCTTACCCACTCGGACCCAGTAGTCCCGGATCAGCTGGAGGCACCACTCGATCTCCTGGGGATAGTTCTCCTTGGCTCGTTCCTGCAAAACAGCACCCACTTCAGTCCCCAAAGGAGCAGCTCTGCAGGACGTTCAGTCTCAGACACCAACCAGGGCACAGAAATGGTTAATAATGATCAATCCACTCCTGCCATGGCTGTCCCAGGGATGAGAGCAGCTTTGGGGGTGCCAAGCCCCACCACACTCCTCCTCAGTCACCCACACCCTGTATTCCCACCAGATTCTCCCAACACCTGCAGTTCCACGTTTCTGGGATACTCACAATGAGCTCCTGCTTCTCTTCACAGTCAAAGTGCTTCAGGCTCTTCAGGGACACCGAGAAACTTAAAGAAACACAGTTAGAGCTGCACCTCAGCTGCCTCATTTCCCCTGTTCATTTTATTTCCCAGGAGTGCAGGTTTTACCAGTTTTGGTTTTCAGACTAAGTGAAAACTATGGAATCTTTTAACCAAATACCTGGTTTAGAACAGAGCCGAAGGCAGGCTGTGTTTCCAGGAAGTTTGGGCAGCACAAGTAAAACATTGGCTGTGTCCCAGGGCCTCTTTTCTTGTTCTGTTCTTCATTCCTCAGCCCCTCCCCTGGACACGGACCTGCCTCAACCTGCAACCCTCCCCTGACCCAGCCCCTCCTGCCCCATCAACCTGAAGGGACTGTCCTCGCCCTGCACCAGGAAACGGGCACAGAACACACAGTAACAGAAACTGAAAGTCCAGGATGTGATTAAAGTCCACTTTACCCTTTTTTTTTCTCGTTTGTGGTCCCGTCTATGAAGAGCACACAGGCCCTCCGGTGCTTCCGCTTCACTGCTTTCACCTGGGGACAGAAACAGCCTCATTTAGGCTCCCAAAATCCTAAGCCCTGACAGAGCAGGGACATTTTCCATGGATATCTGACACCCCACACTTTATTTTTTCTTATTTGTGTAACTTCCTTTACTGCACAAATATGAGAAACTGAGCTGGAAGGAGTAACCGGTTACCCCAAGGGAGAATTTTCATTGCTCAGGGACCACCCCCTTTCTTGACAGTTGGGAAGAAGGTCGTGTTCCATGGCCCAGGATAATCCTCTGCTCTGGTATAAACAGGTGTGAATTAACCACACTTACTTTTCATGTGGTTTTGTCAGATGTGATTTCACTTCTATTGAGCTTTGGGACTTTTCTGCTGGAAGATCTTTAAAATTTCCAGCTCTACATGAGTCAGGAAGGGCAAAGGTCACTCCAGAACTGGCAAACTGCTCCTTTTCAGCAGGATAACAGGTTATCAGCAGGCAGGAGCTGCTCTTACCACTGCTGGCCAGTAGGGATACCGCCGGAGCTTGCACCACACCAGCATCCCCTCCTCGATGGACTGGGGCACTAAGGTGGGAAATAAAGGAAACTGCCTTCAAAAATCAGTGGGACAACACAGATCTCACCCTCTCCTGTCCACCTCCAGGCTGTTCCTCCAGGAGAAACCCCAGCAGTTTCTCTTCAGTGCTTTTACAGGTCTCACCTATGCTTACAGGGCAGCATCATCCCCCCAAAACACAGCACAGGCCTTCTGAACACAAACTCAGGAATTCCAGTCCCAGGCCCTCGCCCAGTTTTGCAGGGATTTACATTTCATGCTGATGTCTCACCTTGGCAGGACAGAACACAGGGAAAATCCTCCTCCTCTTCATCTACCACAGGTGAGAGTGGAGGGAAGCTCTCCGAGGAAACCCCCCTTGGAGACATCCCAGAGGGATCCAGCCCTGCCAAGAGCAGCAAGAACCAGGGTTGTAAGTGTGGGGAGGGGTTAGAACAGGATCAGCTTCAGAGCAGGTGGGACAAAGGTTTCCCTTGCCCAAGGGATTTGCCCACCTTCATCCTCCTCAGAGTCAGGCTTTGCTTTATTCCCAGCCAGATGTGAGGGATCCTTGTTTTCCTGCTCTTGGGCCTGAGGGGAGGCACCAGAAGGCCCAGGTGAGGATCCAGAGCGGTTCCTGCATTTCCTATCTCTGCCTGAGGCCACACCTGCCCCATCCAGCTGTTTTCCACCCTCTGCCTTTCTCCTTCCATCCAGCTGCTTTGTCAGGCTCTCACTCTCACTGCTGATGCTTTTCTCCAGCTCATCCGAGGCACTTTCACAAGAGGAATCCAGGCACGTCCTTCCAGGTTGGGTTCCAGTCCTTTGGGCAGGTTCCACGGTGCCAGATTTAGAGGGGACAGGCAGAGGCCCCTCCTCAGGGGGCAGCTGTGCTTGATCCTGGGGGGAATCATCCTCACACGACCTTTTCCTTCCTTGCTGACTTCTCCCCTCCTTTGCCTTGGGGGACACTTTGCTCCCTGCTCTGGGGGGGGGTTTCCTCTGTCGTGGGGATGATCGTGGTGATGATTTTGGCCGTGGTGCTTTGCAGCTGTGCCTGGCAGGGGCTGGGGCGTGGCTCGAGTCCCTGGGGCCGCATCTGGAGGGGTTCACTCCATCCCCACGGTCCTTGGCAGGGCTGGTTGCAGCCCCACGAGCCCTGGCACTCCCCCCTGCAAGGGCAGAGCCTCCCTGGGTCTGTGTCCTGCTGCCCTTCCTCGGGTTACACTTTCTTTCCTGTTTCCTTCCACCCTTGGCAGCCTCGGGCTGCAACTTTGTAGAGCGAGAGCGCAACAATCTGCGGGAGGGAGGGGCTGGGGAGGATCCCACGCTGCTGGCCCCGGATAACTCAGGATTTGGCCCCTCTGCAGGTGGCTCCTGCCTGCCCGGCTCAGTCTGACCGAGGATATCCAGGGCGATTTTAAGGGAACAGCGATACTGCAGCTCCTCCACGGCCTCACTCACGTTGTTCTTTTGCTCTGGTGGAGAAGAATATTCGATAAATGCAACAATTTTTATTATCTGAGATGTAAAATACATTAACTTCTTTGATAATATAGAATTTACATATAGAGTTCCTTTCGTTTAAGGGGCAATTTCTAACACTGAAATCACCCATGATCCTTAAAGGCAAAGGATGGAGACACCCAAAGACCAAGCCTCCAGTGCCTCATTTTGAGGGAAATACACATTTCTTCATCATTCCCACCAAAAAACTACCACAGGGAAGAGGAAAATGATCACGTTTAACCTATTTTCCACTTTCATGGACGGAAAAGGAGGAAAGAAACTGTGGAAAAAAAAGCTCCTCAAAACTACAGAAGTGAAAAGCAGAGCTATCATCCCCCAGGCTGAGCTTCTGTGTCTGTTTTCCACTCGCAATAGAGGCAAAGCAGCACATCCTGGCCCCTGCTCACCCAGGCTGGAGGCAATGGCCTTGATCCGCTCCTCTGTCAGGGGAACAGCGTTTGCAGAGCTCACACTGACCCTGAAACACAACACAGCTCACTGGAACCAGCACAGAGAACACCCCCAACAGAACCACTCTGCTCTCACCCACCAACAAACCCCAAACACTCGTCCCCCAGACCTGGCCTTGTTAGGGTTAAACCCCTAAACCTGCTGTGAATCCATGACCCCACCTCACAGGAATCTTCAGGCGAAGGGATTCCTTTCTCCCCCCTCTTTAAGGCCTAAGAATGCAAACATGTGGCAGGAACAAGGATACTCAACTGCTTCTCCAAGCCCAGTATTTCAGCTTTAAAACCCATCTTCTTCCCGGTGGTCACACGAGCGCTCCCAGCGACTCCAGGTTTGCACAAAACCTACATTAAAAACACGGATTTAAAACCCTTGCCCAGCAGATCTGACATCAAAACATTCTCACAGGAACAGCCTGATGGCCCATGGCAGGTGTGGCTGCAGCCTTGGGATCATGGAATGGTTTGGGTTGGAAGGGACCTTCAAACCCACCCCCTGCCACAGGCAGGGACACCTCCCACTGTCCCAGGTTGCTCCAAGCCCCGTCCAACCTGGCCTGGGACACTTCCCAGTGTAAACCTGAGCAAGTACAAACATGTCCACTGGGAGCTCTCACTTCTTTTGTGCTCCACTGCCTCCCTTCCCAGGTGACATCCACAAACTCTTCCTCGTTACCTTGGCTGGCCACAAACGCCTCTTCCACTTGCAGAGAACGAGCTCTGGGTCGGTCATGGCTGAAAAGGGGCAGTTCCAGTGTGCTCTGAGGAAGAAAGGGAATAAAGGAATCACCTGCCTTGGTCCACTTTTGTCTTTATCTTTCTGAAGAAATACAGGACTTGACCAAACACGTTATTGGAGTCATTACTGTTTTAGCTTTGGGATTGCTGCAGTGCTGTTACCCCACAGCATTCTCCAAAATTATATTTTTAAATTCCATTTCTCTGCGGGTTGCCCAGAGAAGCTGTGGCTGCTCCATCCCTGGAAGTGTCCAAGGCCAGCTTGGAGCAGCCAGGTCCAGTGGGAGGTGGCCCTGCCCACGATGGTGGAACTGGATGGCCTTTAAAGTGCCCTCCAAGCCAAACCATTCCAAGATTCAGTAATTCCCTCAGCCCGGGAACACGAGTGGGTCTCACTGGGCGAGGACGACGCTGCCACAGATTAACCAAGGCAACTGCGGGTCTGCCCAACCCACCCTGCAACCAAACCCCGAACACAGGCATTTACACCCTAAAAACAGGCATTTACACCCTAAAACCGGCATTTACACCCTAAAATCGACTCGCTATACCGGCTTTTATATCCAACTCGCGAGGCCGAGCCCTGGGGTGCCGCGGGCTCCGGGGCAGCGAGGAAGGGCCGTTAATAGCGCCCGGAACGGAGGGAAGCGGCGGGGCGGGACCCACCGGCCCCGCCCGGCCCCCCAAACCGCCCGCGGGCCCCCGAACACCCCCGGGGAGGGACGAAACCCCCCAAACCCCGGGGAGGGGAACGACGAGACCCCTCCCCAAACCCCGATGACGGGAGGGTCGGGACCCCCCCCAAAACGCGGGGAGGGACCTCTAAACTGCCCCAGGGAGGGGAGGGACGGCACTCCCCGATCCGTCGGTGAGCGCTGCCCGGTGATGGGAGGGTCGGGACCGCCTCGCTCTCCGTGCTGAGAGAAGGGACGGGACCGCCAAACTCGCCCTCCCCCGCCCCCTGAGCCGGAGGGACCCCCGGACCCCCCTCACCCCCGGTGCCCTCAGCCGGAGGGACCCCCGGACCCCCCTCACCCCCGGTGCCCTCAGCCGGAGGGACCCCTGGACCCCTGGACCCCACTCCCCGGTCCCCTCCGCCGGAGGGGTCCCCGCTCCCCTCGCCCCCCTCACCCCGGCCGGTGGGCGGGGCCGTTACCGTGCGCGCTCCCGACTCCGCCGCGCGCGCCGCCCGCCACATGACACCCTGCGCATGCGCCGCCCGCCCGGCCCCGCCTCTGGTTCCGCCCCCGGCCCCGCCTCGGCCAATCAGCGAGCGCCGCCTGTCGTGCCGGCCCCGCCCCTCCCGGTCCCCGCCGCCGCCAAAACACGGGCGGGCGCAGCCAATGGGAGCGGGAGCTGCCCCGCACGCCCCGCCTCCCCTCGACTCCCATTGGAGGGTTCCCTGCAGGCCCCGCCCACTCCGAGGGGAGGGCGGGAGGTGCTGCGGCACGGGAGCTGGTCAGGTGACGTCATCGCCGTGAGTTACGTCATCACCGCGAGTGACGTCATCGAGTCCCGAATGGGAATGGTTTGTCCTCAAAGGGACTCGGAGACTTCTCCGTTCCCACTCGGGCTGAGGTGGGAGGTGTCCCACGCGCCGGACCCTCAAAGCCCCTTCCCACCCAGACCACCCCCTGGCGATTTTTAGCCTCGTTTCTTTCCAAGGGCGACAGCGAAAACGGAGCCCACGCTCTGATGTTTGATGCTTTATTGGCTGTCTCTGCTTCGTTGTGAACACCTCGGTACCAGAACTGTCACCACAGTTACTCAAACACACTCTGCAAACAGCAACAGACCCAAATCACCTCCGTGGGCTTTACCCCAGGAGCACATTTTTCCTGCCTTTAAGTATGGATACCTGTGGAATAGTTGTTAACATAAGAGGCAAACTCCTGGTTTTGCTCCCAGTTTCCTCCCCCCACCCCGTGCCTTCTACCACTGGAGACACTTTGTGTAATTAATTTTTTTGTTACCTCGTTGAAACCTTAATTCCCGCTTTTCTGCGGGATTGGGGATGCTCAGCAAGGTCACAGCCATTCCCAGCACCAGTCCCTGCTTCCCAGGCTCTGGGGGTGCTGAGCACTCCAGCCCGGTCCTGCAAGGTGCTTTAACCAGTGTTTCATGTCCAAGGATAGAAAACAGTCTGTAAAACCCGGGTTAATGAACAACAAGGTTCAAGGTGGGGTTCCGGTCCCACTGGAGCACGTGGAGACAGCACGGAGCTGGAAGGACACACCGAGGGTGGGAGGGACTGGAGGTGAGAACACACTGCAGGGGTCAGCCCTCAGTATTAGAAAAAGGAGAGAAAAAACCTGCCCCTGCTGCAAAATGCAAAGAAAAAGGGATAATTTCCTGGTGCTGCAGTGTCCCTCGGGCTCAGCGTCCACGTCCTCCCCTGTGACATCCCACCCAGGCACAGCTCAGCTGGAAAAGGTCCAGTTCTGCTCGAGACATAATATTTTTCCAAATAAAATCCCCCCTTGAACATCCTATTTCTCCTCTGTATTTGGCTTTACAAGCTCCCTGAACATCACTGAGCCCCATAAGGTGGCTCAGCCCTTCCACAGAGCCCTTTTGATTTCTGCTTGTGCTGCCCACGAACACAAAATCCTCGTGCCACGTTTTCCTCCCGTGCCCTGGCGGCCCTGCTGACCCTGCTCTGTCACCCCTGGGTCCGTCACCGCGGCCTCAGCTTCTGCAAAACATCCATTTTGGGGGCTTTTTGCCCTCCTGTACCAGCTGTTCAGTTCTGCACCCCGTCCTGGGGGGCTGAACCTCCTGGACACACTGATTGTCCTCCAGGTGAGACTCTGCCCTGAACACTCTGCTCTGAACCCAAATCCCGGGGGTGCAGGCCATGGGCTGCCCAGGGATCAATCCTGGCTGCATCCCCCCAGCTGGGGCTGTGCCGCTGTGCTCTCCCTAATTCCCACGTGGAATATGGCTTTTCCTGTTCTGGTCACTGGGTCTGCATTAAAATCTGCAAATGCTTATCCTGTGGCTCGCTAAGTGCTGACTAAAAAATTTCTTTTCAAGAAGTTTGTCCCCTGATTTCATTAAAAAACAAACAAACAATCCGAGTGGGTTTAGACTCATTGTCCTCCCTCAGGGCACAGCAGTTACTGAGTCCCACAGAGCACCTTGGAGAGGGTTGTGCTGTTCCTGCTTAGAACTGCTGTGTAAATGCTGACCTGGAATGCCAAGGAGAGGCCAGGCCAGCATTCCCAGTTCCACGACAACCCCAGCACCACCAGGAATCCACAGCAAGACGACATGGGGACACACAAAACCAGGTGGAAGAAAAACAAATAGGAGGTCAGCTGCCCACTAGGGATGGCGAGGGAACCACTGGCACACACTTTTCTCCAGAGAGGGTCAAAAATCTGTTCAGAGGCTCCTAAAACCTCGTCTAACACAGCAGCAAACCCAGAGCTGGGCCTGGCTGACAGCACTGGAGACATCACAGCAAGGGGCAGCGATAACCTAAAGAAATAAACCTTCCAGGGCTATTTACAGGAACGTACAGACCCCTCAGAGACAACCCACTGCCTTTGGAGGGGAGAGAAACCCTTTGTTCTGCTCTTTGCTCCTCGTTTGGAAGCCACTCGGGACCTTTCCAAGCCCCAGAGGGAAGAGGAGTCCCATTCCCATTCCCATCCCAGCCCTGCCCGGTGCCCGGGCCGGGTGGGCACAGAACACACAGGGACAGCGAGCGGGACCACTCACGGGGACAGGACACGAGAGGAGGACGTCCCACAGCCCAGACCGCGGGCTGGGGGCTCTGGCGGCCCCCCCGGCCGCCCCCGGGGCTCGGTGGGTGTCGGCGGTCGAAGGTGACCCCGTTAGCTCCGGCAGCCGGCGCCGGGCACGGGCACGGGGGGCACGGGGGGCACGGGGGCACGGGGGGGGTGGTCGCTCTGGAACACGCCGAGGTCCTGGCTGGCCGTGGTGGCTGCGGGGCCGCCGGTGCCCGTGCCCTGGGGCGGGAGGGGGCCCCGGGGACCCCCCCGGCTGCGCCCGCCGCGGGAGCAGTCGTGGTGCCCGTGGTTGCCCAGGCGGCTGGAGGCCACCACGGCCTTCATGGCAGCCTGGGGCAAAGGCACAGCGTCACACAGTGCCCTGAGCTGGAAGGACCACCCAAGTCCAAGCCCCTGCCCAGGACACCCCAACAATCCCACCCTGTCCCCCAGAGCATTTTCCAAATGCCCCTGGAGCTCTGGCAGCCCTGGGGCTGTGCCCACTGCCCTGGGGAGCCTGGGCAGTGCCCACCACCCTCTGGGGGAAGGATCTTTTCCACATGTCCATCCCAACCCCCCTGGCACAGCTCCAGCCGTTCCTTCGGGCCCCGGGGGCTTGGCAGAATCCTCCCCTTCACAGCCACTCTCAACCCCCCAGCAGTGGAAGGGGAGGGGACAGCCCAGCCCTTCCCCCTTGCTTTTCCCTGCAGCAGCTCCCTCCTCCTTCACCACCTTCCCCACCGGCCCCGGGGACTGTCACAGGTCACTCTGCTTCCACAAACCCAGAGACAACAGCTCAGGGTGGCCCCAGCCCTTTGCCAAGGGGACACAGCCACGAACCATCCCCAGGGTGATGGATGCCCCCTCCTTTACCTTCAGCTTCCTCCTGGCATTAAATTCCTGCAGCTTCTTCTGCGTGCTGTCCATGTGAGCAAACTTAGCAGCTTTGCCGGTGACCCAGGGGTGCTCCAGAGCCTGGTGGACCGTCAGCCTCTTCTGGGGGTCCAACACGATCAATTTTCTCACCTAAAAGGGATGAAACAGCCCCGGGTTTGGTTCTTTCACGGGCACTGAGCCGGAGCCTCACCCCCCAGCCCCGGGGCTGCCCCACTCACCAGGTCCTTGGCGTTGGGGGACACCTCGTCCCACCACGGGGACACGAACTCGTAGTCGCAGGTGAGGATGCGGCTGTACATGTACTGGTCCCCACGGGGGTCGAAGAAGGGCTCGAAGCCACAGAGCCTGTAGGGGGGAAGAGAGAGGAGCTGCACCCCTGCTGTGGGATGGGGTGGGACAAACCCTCCCAGCCCGGTTCCACCCCGCAGAGACACTCACAGGATGTAGGTGATGACGCCCACGCTCCACATGTCCACTTCAGGGCCGTACGGGCACCCGTGGAGGATTTCGGGGGCTGGAAGCAGAGTTTGGGGGTTCAAACACAGCCCACCCGGCATGGTGGGGACCTCACCAGCCACCCCTGCACTGAGCTGTGCGTGGCCTCAGGCAGGGAAGGGTCCCCCCAGATCCCGGTCCTAGCCCAGCCCCACCCGCTCACCGCAGTACCCTGGCGTCCCGCAGACCGTTTTCATGGTGTCCTGCTCGTCCACGATCTTGGAGAGCCCGAAATCACCTTGGAGGGACACAGGGGAGCAGCACTGCCATCAGGGAGAGGCACCAGGAACCCCCCCTCATGCCAGAATTCCCCAGTGGGGCCCCAGACCCACCGATTTTGAGGGGCGCGTCGGGGGACAGGTCTGCGTAGAGCAGGTTCTCCGGCTTCAGGTCCCGGTGCACCACCCCGTTCTCGTGCAGATACTGCACAGAGGGGAAAAGTGGGGTGAGGGAAGGAAGGGAATGGCCTCAGACAGAATTTGGGAGGTGGCAAGAGTGACTGGGGACCTGTCACAAACCCGGGACCAACTGACCCCAGTGGGCCCTTTGGGAACAGTCCCCATGGCAGGGCATGGGGGCGCTGGGGAGGGCATTTCCAGTTAGGAGTTCCCACTTTTAAACCCTCCTGTTTCCATAGAAACCCCATCTCCCACAGACCTGGCATGCAGAGCAGCACTGACCTTCCTCCCTCCTCCCCTTCATCCCCCCTGAAAGTGGATCCATCTTCCAGCACTGCCCATGGAAGGCCAAGGGTGAGGGGGCAAATCCCTCCCCCAGGGGTGTTTGGGGTGGGTGCAACTCTGAGCACCTCTCCCCGGGATTATTTGGGATTGGTGCAGCTCTGAGTGCCTCTCCCCGGGGATATTTGGGTGCAGCCCCCGCAGTGACACCCCCAAGCCCCCCAAAGGACCCCTTCCCTGGGGACACGTTACCGAAACAGCCTCCAGGATCTGCTTGACCACGTGAGCCGCGTCCCGCTCGCTGTAGAACCCCCTCTCCACGATCCTGTGGGCACACAGGACCATCAGCCCCCCCATCCTCGTCCTCCCCCTCCATCCCAGGGGGATCCATCCTGGGGCCCTGGGCTGGACATACCTGTCGAAGAGCTCTCCCCCCGTCACCAGCTCCAGGACGAGCGCGATCTCCGAGGGCGTCTCGAAAATCTCCTTCAGCTTGATCTGGAAAGGGCGACAGGAGGGGTGTGGGACGTGGATGAGAGATGTGGGATACACATCCTGGCTGTGCTGGGAGGAGCATTTGACTGCCAGGGGAAAAGGGTTGTTCCAGGGCAACCAGCACCTTTCCCTCCTTGCCTCGGGCTTTGTTTAAAAGCGAATGGTTTTGGGTGTTTGCAGCAGCCCTGCTCACTCCACATGGATTGAAGATAAATCTGGGAATGGGAAGAGCCAGTGCCTTTATCCTCTTCGTGTCTCCAAGCTCATTTGCCAGAGGAGGGGCTCCCTCAGAGTGGTTTAGTGTCACAGCTCCATCGCTGTGGGGGCCTCGGTGCCTCTGCCCAGCCCTGCCTCCATCCCACGGGATGAATCCTGCTCCTCTCCCTGGGCCAGGATGTGGGAGACACAGACAGAGCTCCGTGGGATCCACTCTGGGATCAGGGCTCTGGGACTGAACTGTCCCTTGGACTGTTCTGCAGCAGAAGAGGCACCAACCAGTGTTTTCCTCCCGGGTTTGGTGTTTCAGCCTCCACGTGGGCTGAGCGTGTCCGAGCCCTCTGTGCCGCCACAGCCCCTCTGGACTGTAACGATCCTCTCTCAAAACAGCCACGTCAAAATGCAATTCTGCCTTTTTTTTTTTTTTTTTTTTTTAATGGAAACCCCAGAATTTCGCGCTTCTTAAGACTTTTTGTGACACCACGAATTTCATGGGGCTTTAATCATTCCCTTCCCAGGCTGGGTGACAAGCCGTGAGCCCCCGCGGGGCGAGAGGCACTGTGTGGCAGCTTATTGCATTAGAATAATACACGGAGCACTATAATTTTCCCATTAACTTCAAAAGTTTACAATCCTATTATCAGCCGCTGTCGAGGTCGGTGCCACACGATAGCGAGAGCGGAGACGGCTCCGGCGTCAATAATGGAACAGAGCAGCTCCTCTTCAACAATCACTTGAACTTGGGATGAGCAGAACCCTACGGAAACCTCGGGGATTTAAATATTCAAAGTGGCTGGATCCTCCTCCCCGGCTCCAGGAGCCGCTGCCTGCAGAGGGGAGGGGGAGGAAGGGCAGAAATTGGATTTTCTGTTGTGTTTCTGATAACACATCAGAGAGGAGCCTCTTCCCATCCACGGCTGGTATCACCTGGGCTGCTCTGGGTGGGTGATCCCCATCCTGGCTGTTATCCCTGCATCCGCCCTGGGACCAGGGGAATGACTCCATGGAAAAGGCTGAAGCACCAAATTGCCCCAAACACTGTAACATCCCAAGGCAGGCCCAGGCCCAGCTGGCTGAGGGGCTTAGGGACATCCCAGCCCCAGCACTTTATCCCTGTTATCCCTGGTTTTGGATATGCTGGATTTCTCTTGGCTTCCTTTCTTTGCATCGAGGTTTTGGGGCTCGTCCAGAGAGTGAAGCTCCGAGGGTGGGCAACGAGGCTGGGCTGGAAGCAACTGTGCCCTAGGTTTGAGGGATGTACAGCTTGGGCAGGAGCGGCCAGTGGAAGACAGTGTCCCAGTAACATCCCAGCAATGTCCCAGTGACATCCCAGTGACATCCCAGCAATGTCCCAGCCACAATCCCAACAGGAGTGGAGCCAGTCCCACCCAAGCCCTCAGCCCCACAGCAGCCACCAGGCAGCTTTTTGTGCCATTTCTTTAACTCAGGTGCTCTCCAAGAAGCTCTCACAATCTCCTGGTGGAACTAAGGAGCTGAGAATAAGCCTTTTGGGGAGGTGAGAGGGGGGTGGCACGGAGCCCCCCAGCCCCTGCTGTTGTGGGATTAGCTCTGCTCTGGGTGTCAGGAATTGCTCCAGCCCTGCTCCCCTCTCCCCCCTCCCGTTATCCCCCTGGGTGCTGAGCAAGGACAGGCAGGAGGGGGACACGGCCCCAGCCCCTGCAGCCCCAGCCTCCTCTTTTATCTCCTCTTGCAGGATTCATTACAGTCGGGCAATTTTCTGTGGGATTCATTTGATCTCCTGGCTGGAAATTGCTTACTGAATGGAAATCTCAGGCCAGGGGGTTGGGGAGGGGGGGAGGATGGAGGGTCCTTGATATCACAGGTGGGAGCTCAAAGGAGCTGCAAGGACCAGGAATTTTATATGGCAGGAAGTGGGGAGTCAGCTGGAGCCTGTCTGGGAGCCAGACATGGGGTGCAGGGAGGGTACATGGGGTGATGGGTTCATCCTGCACCAGGATGGGAAGAAGATAAGGACATCCCAGCTCTTCCCTCAGCACTGGGCTGCCTGTGGGCAGAATTAAGGGGCAACCCACCCCCAGGAGCCCTGGACCCGACCCTAAGGCAGCTGGGAGCTGAGTCACAGGGGTGGTACTCACGATATTGGGGTGTGAGAGCCGCAGCAGGACCCCGATCTCCGTCCTCACGATCTTTTTGTCGATCTAGAAAGCAGAGCCCACATGGAGGTTGTGTCAACTGTGCTGCTGGGCCTGGGTCTGGCACCCAACCAGAGACCTCCCCAGCACATTCCCATGTCTGCCCTAGGACCTGTTTCCCCAGAAAAATGCATGCAGTGCCCCCCCTGCTGCACGCCCAGCCCAAGTCCCAGCGGTTTTGTCCATCTGGGACCCCCCAGACCACAGGGGCGATGCCCAGTGACAGCCCCGTGCCCACCCTGGGGCCTTGGCAGGGAGCAGGGACACCCTCCCACTGCATTCCCCACCTGCAGCCCCCTCTCCTGCAGTCCCCCCACGGCACCCCCACACACACTCACCGTCTTCTTCAGGATCTTGGCAGCGTAGGGGGCTCCTGTTCCCTTCTCCTGGCAGCTGAACACCACCGAGGTGGCTCCCCTGGGAGGGCATGGGGGGCGTGAGGCTGGGACAGGGCAGGGGGTCCCACTCTCCCTGTGCCCCTCACCAGCACCTTTACCAGTGCCAGCTCCTGGGAGCTCAGTGTGGGTCCCCCTCTTATGGATCCCCCTCCTCCTGCATCCCCCTTCTTGTACATCCCCATCCTTGTGCACACTCCCCCCCCAATTCCTGCATCGCCTTCCTGCACCCCTCTCCTGCATCCCCCTCCTCCTGCACCCCCTCCCTCCTCATCCCGGGCTTTCCAGGCCAAAGCCATTGTAATTAAAACCGACTTCTACAGGGGCTTTAAATCCTTAAGCGGCTTTCGGGACAGGACGCAGCCTCCGTGGCCCCGCTCCCGGCGACAGCGGGGACGCTGCCAGAGCCCCAGCCCGGCCGTGTCCCCACGGCCACGGCACGCGGGGCAATCCCGGTCACCACGCACCTCCCGGCCGGGGTGACCCGCTCCGGGTGAGCGGGAACCGCTCCCTTCACACCCCCGCGGTGCCCTCAGCCGACGGCGGTTTCAGATCGACTTAATCACGTTTTCTGAGCGCTGGACGGTGAAATCAGCCCGTCGCTCGGGGCCATTCCGGGGCTCATTTGCAATTCCATCTCCCCGCCTGGCTCCTGGAGCACATTAATTCCTGCCCCCGAGTAATCGGCCGCGTTTTATTGCACTTTGGCTTCGCCGCCTTCTGGGACGGAGCTCAGGCTGCGCCAGGAGGTGCCCGGCACCCCCCTTGCCCGTAGCCTCAGGCTGGCAAGAACGGACCTCCAAACCCACCGAATTCCACACCAAAACCTCCCCCCACCCCAAACCCGCCACCGGGCAGGGCTGTGCGACCTCCGCTCCCGGGCGCTCTCCTGAAAGAGGGATTTGCCTTCAAAACCAGAGCGGATTTCGCAACTCATCCCGCTGAATTTGGGAACGGCGTTCCCATGGCAACGGCAGAGCCGGGTACCGAGTTCCAGAGGGATGCTGGGGGGGAGCAAACCCCAGACCTCGCCTCGTTTCAAAACATTTTCATCCCTTCTCCCAACACTTTCCATGCAATTCTACTTTGCACACAAAAAGCGATTTGGAAGCACGTTGTTCCCTCCGGGAGGGGAGAGGCGGCTGCTCCAGCTCGGGAAAATGGGCAAAACCTGCGATTTGAACCCAAAATGGCACCGCTGCTGCTGTGACCACCACGATAGTGCACTTCTAGAGGGACAGGTCAGGGGGTTTTCTCCTGATTTCCCAGCCGGGCTGAATGCAGGGACAGGACCCTCCACCCTGTCTCCAGCAGCTGAATCTCAGCCTGGACCAGTCACCCTCCCCCAGATTTTTCTCAGATAATTTTCACAGATAATTCTCAGCCCAATTCTCGCTGCTAACGAGCTCATTTAGGAGTGCTCGGCTCGGCGTTTAGGAGGAGCCGGGGTGGCTCCAGGGCCCGCTGTGCCCGCGGCTGCCCCTCACATTTCCCCAATTACGGCCGCTGTTGGATTTGCGCCGGAATTCGCTACACCCCCCGCCCCGGCCCCGCCGCCCCCGCAGCCGCCGCTCAAGGCCTCGAGTAAATATCCCCAATCAACCTTGGCTGGACAGGAGATAATTGCATTTGCTTTCCAGATGAACTGGAAAATGTCGAACAATGGGATTTGCCGAGAGAGCCCAGACCGGCAGCGCGGGCACGTGCAGGGAGGGATGGAGGGAGCAGCCCCGGGCTGGGGCCTCCCCACTGCCACCCCATCCCTCCCCTGCTCCCTCATCCCTCTCCTGCTCCCTCCATCCCTCTCCTGCTCCCTCATCACTCTCCTGCTCCCTGGGCCTTCCTGGCCACAGCTGGACCCCACCTTGCCAGGAGAGGCACTAAGGGAAAGCTGTGTAGGGTGAGTGGGCTCCCAGTGCCCCAGATCCCACCTGGATCCAGGCATGTGGCTGCGAGTGGGTGGCTCCAAGACTGAGACCAGTGTGATTTAAACCCGGATGGATGGATGGATGGATGGATGGATGGATGGATGGATGGATGGATGGATGGATGGATTCCAGGGGCTCCAGGCCTGTCCCTCTGTCCTACATCCATCTCCGCAGGGCTGGGAACTGCCAAGCCCTGGGCTGACTTGGCCACACCTCAACAAGAGCCCTTAAACTCCTGCTTTTGCCAAAGCTGCTGTTTGTCAGGATCCTCTGCCAATGGAAACCCAGCGGTGATCCCGCTGCCCACCACGGGTGAGGAACGTGCAGCTCCACAGGCACAGGGACCCCAGGCCCACCCTACCAGCCCCCCACGATGCTCCCAGACCGTGGCTGCTGAGCCACAAACCAAGGCTCAGGTTACGTGTGAGGGGAGGGTCTGCCACAATCCACCCCCCCTCATCCATCCTTCCCTGCATCCCTCCATCCCCCCTGAATCCCTCCATCCCACTCTGTATCCAACCCTTCCCACATCCCTCCATCCCTCCCCACATCCTTCCACCCCTCTCCCCACCAGGCCCGTCCCTGCCCCGCCCAGGACACGCTCCCATCCCAGGGGGTCTCCTGCCCCCCTAGTTCCTACCAGTCCCCCTCCCGCCCCCAGCCCGTACCGTCCCAGCTCGGGGCCCACGACGTAGAAATCTTCCAGGGCCACCTCGCGGTGGGATCCATCGATCCAGAACTCGCTGTCACTCTTGGAGGACGGCATGGTGGGCCGGGGGTGGAGAGCTCCCACCAGCTGCTGGGAAGGGGAGACCCCGGCATGGCCACGGCCCCCCCGCCAGCGCCCAGATGGCCCAGGGAAAACCAGAGCCCGGGATTATCGAGCGCCGTGGAATCACGGCCACAAATCCCCTTCCCACCAGGCACGTACGCTGCCTTTTCCGAGATAATGCCCCCATCCCCTCCCCCGCTGTGTCCTGTGTCCCCCCACGGCTTTTCCCACCACCCTCCTCCCCCTTTCCCTCCCCATCCCACCTTTCTGGGGATCCCTGGGCTCTGCAGAGCCCGGCAGGCCGGAGGCTGCACCCACGGGCTGGCACGTTGGGTGTTTGCACCCTGAATCCTGCAGCCACCCCTAAAGCCCCCGACCCCCGCCCACCCCCGCGGCCCCGGTAGTTTTGGGGTGGGGTCGGGGCCCGGCACGTACCGTTACCTGCGGCGTCGCTCGTGGCCCCCCCGGCGCTGCCTCATCCCCGGCGCGGGGCGGCTGTGCCGAGGGTGGGCGCAGGGGGTCCTGAGCCCCCGCCCGCCCCGGGGCTGGTGCTGAGCCCGGCCGCGGCCCCCGGGACCGTGCGGCCCCCCCAGGCTCCCCAAAACCGGGGGGTCAGGGCTCAGATCCTTGGCGGGGCTTCACAGGGCGCTGAGCGGCGCTGGGATGGAGGGATGGGAGGATGCAGGGATGGAGGGATGCAGGGATGGAGGGATGCAGGGATGGAGGGATGCCGGGATGGAGGGATGCCGGGATGCGGGAGGGCAGGCACGCCTGGCAGAAGGGATGCAGGGATGGGAGGATGCAGGGATGGGAGGATGCAGGGATGGGAGGATGCAGGGATGGGAGGCTGCCGAGGCGCCGGGAAGCGGGAGCGCGGGGCTGCAGGGAGAGAGGAAGGTGGGAGGGGGCCGGGACTGCGGAGCACCGGGACCCTCCCCGGCAGCATCACCGGCGGCCGCGGCGCTCCCGCCTGGCTCGGCCGTGCCACCCCCCGGCCCGGCGCCGCCACTGCACCCCCCCGCCCCCTGGGGCTGCGGGACCCGCCCGGTGCTCGCGGGGTCCGGGCGGCCCTGACCCCCAACCCCGCAGGATCGGCAGGATCGGGCCCCGCGGCGGGGCCAGGGCAGGGGCACCGCGGCCGATCCCAGGGACCACCTGGCACCCCCGGTGCCGAGCCCCCACCCTGCCCCGCACCCCAGGGAGCACTCGAGCCCCGCACCCACCGGGGCCGGGGCCCGTCCCCTGAGCTCCCGAGCCCCCGAGCCCCCTGAGCCCGGTGTCCCCGGGACAGGGGCTCGCGTCCTGCCGGGGCGCGGGCTCTGCCCGCAGTGGCCGCACGATGACGCCGTCGCCCACCGGATGGGGACGGGGGGCGGGGGAAACGGGGTGGGAGGGGACGGGGAGGGGCTGGGATTGGGATTGGGGCGGGGTTGGGCTACGGGGATGGAGTGGGAATGGGCTGGGAGGGGTGGGAATGGGACTGGGAATGGCAGAGCTGAGGTGGGACTGGGATTAGGGATGGGGTGGGCTGGGGCCAGGAACAGGATGGAATGGATGTGGGATTGAGGAGAGAGGTGGGATGAGGCCAGGGACGGGATGAAACTAGATATTGGACTGGGATGGGACTGTGGATGGGTTTGGGATGGGGACAGGGATGGGAAGTGAGTGGGGATGGGATGGGAAGGGGGTCACAATGGGTCCAGGAGTGGGGTGGGAGTGGGGATGGGGCTGGGGTGCAGTTATACCCATGTCCTGTGGACTGCTGTGTTTCCTGCAGCGAAGGGAGGAGGAAATTCCTCCTGAAGGTCCAATTTATATGTTTTCTTACTAAAAATTGGAAACAAAGAGAGCATCCCATGGGGCACTGACCCTCTGGTGGGGCCAAGGAGCAGTGGGAGACCCCCACAAAAAATGCTGCTGCGAAGGTCTCAAGGCATAAAACATTGTCCTCTCCACGGATTCCTCAGTATTTATTAGAATATTTTATCATATCTGAGGGAGGCAAACTCAGCTCTGCTTGATCTCCTCCAGTTGCAACTCCCTTTTGAAAGGGATGTTCGTACAGGGAGTGACCTGCTCCATGAATAAATTGACTCTGCCTCCATTGCTCCCCCGTCCTGGCATGCTGTGGAGACAAGGGTGGGCTGGAAAAGGCTGGTTTGCATAATTAATATTTATCACTTCATTCCGAACAAACACAATCCCCCCGTTCATCCCTGGCCCCCAAAGAGTGGGGGACTGTGTTGGAAGCACAGAGGAAGCTCCTTCCTTTTGGAAACCCCACAATTCAGGTCTCAGAGAGGGGTACAATCCCCCCACAGCACCCACAGACACCCCTGGGTGGGCACTGGATGGGGTGTGGGATCCAGCCTGGGCAGAGGGAGATTGGGATGGGGCAGTCCCAGTGCCCTGAACAACCCAGCACCCCAAAATCCCCAAGAGGAGGGGACTGCCCTTTGCAGCACCCCATCCCCAGCTGGGACACATTCCCAGGGGCAGACCCAAGCCTTGGGCTGCACCTCCACGATCCAGCCCTGGCTCCAGGACCTGTCCCATCCTCCTCCAGCTCAGTGGGACGATGGGGCTGGATTTGAGCCTCCAGCCTTTTGTCTGCGGGAGAGGAATTAATTATTCTGTTCTCTCATTACACTGGACTAAAATCCATTTCAGAGCAGCATAAATTTAGGTGCCTGAAGTCGCTATTTTAACATCCCGGGAAACATTTCATTCCCTCTGTCGCCCTTTCCCAATCATTTCTGTCTCATTGGCAGCCATTGACGTTCCGGATGAAGCACAAGATGGAGGGACATGAACCAAATACGGCCACAGAGCCCTTCCCTGGGCGGAGAACGGGATGGCGAGGCCTCAGAGGGGCCCCCCATGGTCCCCCCAAGCCCCCAAACCACCAGCGCCCAGCTGGGTGTCCCCAGCAAATCCCAGCGCCGGCAGAGCAGAGTCTGGGAACGTCCCCGCGAGGGACCGGCTGCTTCCGTGTGCTGCTCAATTGTTTGGAACATAAAATGGAAATTAATACACGGGGTGAACCCCTCCAGCATCCCCCCCTCCCCATCCCAGCGCCGCTCGCCTCGTTAATTGAACGGCGCGAAGCAAATGAGGTCAGAGCTCACTTCAGCCAGACAAGGACACGGGAACACGCGGGGCTGCCGGCGGGGCTGGGCTGTACCTGCCCGTGTTTAGCATTCCTGCCGGGATCCGCTCATTAAAAACCTAAAAGGCGGCTTAAGCATCCCATTAGAACCTCTCCGGGCTCTGGATCCTTCCCTCGAAGACGTGTTTGCAGGGAGAGGGGCGGTGGGAGGGAGCAGGAGGGGTTTGCAGCAGTTGTGGGGTCCCATCGTGCCCCATCGCCAGCCCGGGGGGTCGTGGGGCCCTTTGGGGGGTCCCTCGTGCTCCCAGAGCCAGAGGGTAGGAGAGGCAGGAGAGGTGCTGGAGGCTGGGATGCTGCTGGAGCAGAGCAAAGCCCATGTCTGGGATGTGCTCCTGCTGCTGGGGATGCCCAGGTCCCCCTGTCCCATCAGCTCCCCTCTTTCCAAGGACATCCCCTTGGCCCTTGGGAGCAGTTCCCACTCTGTGCCTCAGTTTCCCTGGCTCTGGCAGGGCAGCACAGCCCCTCTTTGCACCAGGCCAGGAGTGCAGAACCTCCCTGGTTCTGGGCATCCCTGGGGATGTTCCTGGCTCCATCTCGGGCATCAGCTCCTACTCTTGGTGCTCCACAGGTGCCCCACCAGCAGCTCAGGTGGGACCACCTTGTGCCGCTGCCTCTGGGCTTTGGCTCCAGGAGCCGACCCAGAGCCCACCCAGCGTCTCCCCTCTCCTGGAGGAGGCTCAGGCATCCAGCATTCCCTCTTTCCCAGCCTCTCCCTGCGTCCTCCTCTGCTTCCTCCCTCTTCCCTTTCTCCCTCTCTTCCCTTTTTTTTTCAGACAAGAAATGAGTTGTCTTCCCGCAGATGTGACTAAAAGCACTCTGGAAATGTCAGCCACTGCTGGAAAGGGACCCAGATAACATTTAGCTTTAGGTAAGAGAGTAGATTTTCTCTGCACTAATTCATATTTATAAGCTCTCGTGTTCCCGGGGAGAGCGCGGCGCTGATGGCACTCGCTGATTGCCAGCGCGCGGAGCAGGGAATTGTTTTCATATCCGAGATTAAAGAGTGGTTTCTGCTCCCAGTGGCACCTGTGTATTTACACTGGTCATTCTCAATTCATTCTTATAAGATTAAGACTGGAAATGGGAAATGGTTATACAGTGCTGAGCCCGGAGGGGCCGTGGGGCCGTGGGGGGGGCAGGGGCAGAGCCCGGACCCTGCACCGGGAACAGCCCGATCCGAGCAGGGGGAACGGAGACTCTGCTCCCCTCGGGGGCTCCTGCTGGGAAAGCTTCATCCAGCTGGAAACTCCTCCTCCAGATCCTGTGGCATGGTCCCTCTGCATGACCCCGGGGGGGATGGATGGCAGGGATGGGGATGGGTGAGGATGGATGAGGATGGATGAGGATGGGTGGGGATGGGTGGGGATGGATGAGGATGGGTGGGATGGGTGGAGATGGATGGGGATGGGTGGGGATGGATGGGGATGGGTGGGGATGGGTGGGGATGGGTGGGGATGGATGAGGATAAGTGGGGATGGATGAGGATAAGTGGGGATGAGTGGGGATGGATGGTCGGAGCACTGTGGGTAGCAGGACAGGCACAAGCACATGATAGATCAGCTGAAAGCTTTATTTCTATTAAGATTAGGTAAAAGATTTATTTCTATTAAGTTTAGGTGAAAGATTTATTTCCATTATGACTCGGAGAAAGATTTATTTCTACTATTATTATTTTTCAACACATCCCAGGGTTTGTGTCAGCTGATTAAAAGCAAACAAGTAAAGCTCTTCTTCTCCACAGCGGATCAAGGATTTGGGAACTTTTAGAGCTTTATTTAGTTTTTCTCTGGTTTATTTAATTTTTTTTTAAATCGTGTTTGCAAAGTGGCTGAGCAGCTCCAGGGAGAGTCAGAGCATAAACATGGGGGTAAAGGAAAAAAAAAAAGGGTTGTGTCAGGGATTGAGGGGCTGGAATTAGGGGGAGGAAGGGGTAAAAAAAGGGGGAGGAGGAGGCGGTGGGGGGATGCAGGAGGGGTTCGGGGTGGAAAGGGAAAAAGGCGAAAGGAGAAACAAGACAATGGCAGAAGGCACCCCGGGGACTTCCTGAGAGGTTTTAGAAATTCAAAATACGCCTTAGAGCCTCAAAGCTGTGTCAGTCACAGCCCCGGCGCAGGGATCACTAAGGCTGCGGCCAAACAATACCAGATTGTGTGAGGAAGGTGGGAAAATCGGGGGTCTCAGCGGCTCCCGCTCAGCCCGGCGGTTCCGCCCGTCAAGCACGCGTTCCACATGAATCAATTCTGGACAGAGCCGCCGCATAATCCCCGCCAGCCTCGCTATGACAACTTGAAGGAGAATTCGGCGGCTGAGTGACAGCAGACGGAGAACTGACAAGGCAAAAGGCCGCAGGACTTTCCTGCCCTTTTTTCCCCCGTTTTTTTCTCTTTTTTTTCCCCTTTTATTCTCTCCTCTCCACCCCCCCCCCCCAGCAGTAACTTTTTCTGGGCGGCTCACTGGGGTGCACACACGTGCTGGTGTTTGGGGCTTCACTCCTGCCTTGAATGCCCTTTCCCTGCTCCCGGGACCCTTCCTGCAGTGGGATGCTCGAGGCTCTGGATACCTCTCCCACCCAGACAGGGGGCACAGGGGTCTAGGGGGTCACGCCAGGGCTGCCCTGCTCAGCACCAGCCAAGGGCAGTGGCAGTGACCTCCATCCAGGGTGTTGGTGACAGAGGACACGTGGCACTGGCACCTCGCTGTGTCCCTGAAGCTTCATCTGAAGGCTTCTGGCTTTAGCACAGCCCCTCGGGGGGGCACAGGG